AAGCTGGCTACGTGGCATGCAAAGTTCCACAAGATTTTCCGGGGAAAATCTTAGAGGAAGACTCTTTCTCGGGTATTCTTCCCAGTGAAGTAACCTTAGATGAGGTGGAAACTCCATCTTCTCAGGTATGTGCACACTATCATTACCATCATATCTTGTCTTGTAAACACAAAGGAATCGAAGATGACGCATTCTTCTAAGAGCTCTATCGCTTATAATCACTTCGTTGATTCCTGATGTATCAAATGAAATGCCAGACACAGCTCTAGTACCCTAAATCAAATTAAGAGATTGTTAGCACAATAATAGGTAAAGCTTGCTTATCTTCACCAAGTGACTTCTCTTTTCTTCAAATGTAAGTAGCAAAATAATATTAAGAAAAAAAGCGCTTACTGTATCATTTTCAAGAACATCACAAATCTCATGAGCATCAATTAAGACTTGACGTTTCCAAGGTTCTTGTCTATGAATGGCCTGTCTACCCACTTGTTGTAGTAAATTGTGCATCACTATTTCCCCTCTGGTAGTAATATAAATGAGAGATTTATTTACTAGGATTTTCAATCCATGTTTGATATCCATGTTATTGTCAGCAAGCATGGCAATCACAAGATTGGCATCTTTATAGTTGAAGAAGACTGCAATGTGGAGAAATAGAGATTTATCATACTCATGTAAACTCTCGTATCCGACTCTTAGTACTTCCTCGATATCTCGTTGATCAAGAATAGTTTCTAGCCTGCGTGATACTTCTTCCCATTCCCTTTCCTTCTTCCCGCGTAAAGATGAACCCACCACACGTAGACCCAAGGGAAGGTTACCACAAAGCTTTGTTACTCTTAATGCAAGCTCTTTAAAACCATGATGAGGAGAGCTTTGCTTAAAAGCATATCTACATAAGATCCCAAGAGCTTCTTCTTTAGATGGAAAACCCACATGGTATGTATTGTCGATACCATGTTGCTGCAAAAGCTCTTGATCCTCTGTAGTCACGATAATCCTACTTCCAGAACCAAACCACCTAGTTTCACTAGCTAAAGCCTCTAATTGCTTTAGATCATTCACATCATCAAGAATGATAAGCACTTTTTGATCGTGTAGCCTTTCTTCTAGCGCGCCTAAATGGCTTATCTTAATACCATTTTGGTTCAAAATCTTAGAAAGAAGTTGCTCTTGTAGACATAGCTTCAATCCATAGTCGTCAAGACCACTACTATAGCTTCCCCTAAGATTCTCAATAAAACAACTAAGCTGAAAACTGCTAGAGAGTTGGCTATGTAAAGCTCTGGCAATAGTAGTCTTACCAATACCTGCAGGGCCACAGACTCCTACTATCATAGCTCCATCTTCATTATCTAAACTTAACAAATATTTCATTTTATTCAAATGAGCTGAAAGACCCACCATGTCTTCAAAATCCTTTGACGGTGAAGCATTTAGTTTGCGTGAAACATCTCCTGCAATCTTTTCGATCATGTTTGCTTCACTGTCCCTAAACAAATGAAAAAAAAAAAAATGAAAAACCATTGCTACCATCAGAAATGTATTTCTAGTATTCATTCAACCAAAACATTGCGTTTAATCATCTAGACTTTATTCTTGTCTCATTAGTTGTAAAACACTATGTTTTGTTGTTTTTTTTGTCTTCTTCTTCTTCTTCTTCTTCTTCTTCTTGTGATTACATTAAAAAACCTAAGAGTGAAATAACTTGGATTAATTAGAGACAAACCAGTTTAGGAAGTCTTCTCCGAGTATGTTGCTCACATCAGTCAAAGCTCGGCTCCATTTACGCCTTTCCTCATCGGTCTTACGTAAACACGTTTCATTGAAAGCGCTCCCAAAATGGCCGGTCTGTTTTCTTACATGGGACGGATCCACTCCATAGAAGATGGTCATCACTATCAGTCCCATAGCTTTCTTGCACTCCAATATCTCCACCAATTCATTCAAACACCAGCTTGAAGAAGCATAGTTTTTTGAGAGAATTACAATCGAGATCCTCGATTGTCTTATCGCTTGTATGAGTGAAGGAGAGATGGTATCACTTCTCTCAATCCCTTTATCATCGAACATCGTTATCCCATTGTAGTTAAACTGTTTGCGCAAGTGGCCAAGAAATGATTTACGTACGTCCTCCCCACGGAAGCTTGGGAAGACGTTGAATCTGTAATTGCGAGATGCAAAAGAAGAAGGAGAAGCCATGAGAAATGCAAAAAAGAGTAATGAGAAGTTTCAAGTTAACGTGTAAAGAGTAAAGAGTAATGAAATGCAAAAATATCAGATGTTCCAAGAAACAGATTAACGTGTTTAAAGATTAACGTGTTTCTACGAAGCTGATATAAAAGCCAAATTGTAAATAAAATAAGGATATTTCCCGTGTATTGACTATTGAGACAAACGCGTTATGAATTATTGAGAATTATAAACGTGTTTTCGTAATATTTACAATTGAAACTACCAAGTCTAATATCCAATCTAATATATATAATTAAGTGAAGGGACTCTTTAGCAGCCCTCCCTCTGTTGGTCCACGTTAGTCATTTTTTCCTACATCTTAGTCCTTATATTGCTCCCAAAACGTTTACGTAACCTGACTTTTTTTTCTTTCTAATGTATCAAACAGAAGGACTTAATAACATAATCAAATTCTTGAGGGTTAAAATTTTTGATTCATCGACTAATAAATTTTTTTTTTTCTTTTTGGGATGGAATCCATAAGTGAAACAACGGATTTTGGGATATAAAAATATAAAAGTATGCTTTACTTAGCTTTTCGTTGGAAAAAAAAAAAAAAAAAAATCTGCAAATCCATAAATGTATAGTTCTCTTCGTAGAGTAATTACGATTTGGGTGACATTATGACATAAGAAAATTTGTCAAGAATGTCTAAAAACACACTTTAAAAATGACTTCAGCACTCTCCAAGGGTTTGAAAAAAATGAATAACTGTTTGACAAATTGGAATTTGCAAAATGAATTTTATTTATTTTCTTAGAACTATATTAACTTTTGATAGACTTAATACATATTACAATTACTCGAGCATGATTAACCCAATAGATACACAATAGATATGAGAGATAACATGTGTATAAAACCAAAATACGATTGCAATAATGACAAGGTCTGTTGGAATTCGAATTTCCTTAGTGAGCTGGACTTATTATTTCTTAGAACTATTTAACTAATATTCGTTCAAAAAATTCACATAAATTACTGAGAATTCTTCTTTTAGTTTTAATTATTTTTCATTTTCTCTGATTTAATAAACGTCTTTTTTAATTTGGAGTTAGCATAATAACTTTCGTTATATATTAGCGTGTGTTTGTACCTTAAAAACATTAACATTGCAATAATTTCATATGTCACACAAAAACACTCTCTGACCTAATAAAAAGTCTTGTCAATTTACCAACAAATTTGTTAATTTTCTTCCAACTATGAAATCTCTTCAAATAATTACGAGTTAATGTTACATTACATCTCCTCAGTTTTGTTAAATACATTCCCCTTAGTTTTGTTGAACCATCAATGTATATGCAAATATAGAAAACATCATTAGGTTTTTGACCAGTTAAATTATGTGAATTGACTCCTTTTCAACACTTATCCCGTCGATAAAGGCAAATACAGGTAATCAAGATAATATTGCTATAGTCAGTGTAAGAAGACCAGATTTTTACTCAAAAAGAAAAAATCAATATTAATAAATATTCGAAGAACCATGGAATAAGATTTGAATACGTTTCCATAGAACAATGAACCTATAAAAAATGAACCTCTATATATATATGTAGATAAACCGATTGTTATATATATTACAAACCTCCAAAGTCCTAATCGGTAATCGAATCAATCACTCTCCATTTTAAATCCTCTCGATTCTCGATGAAGAACTGTATGAAAATCTTGATCACCGTTGTAATCATCTCGACGACTTTATTTCCAGCGTTGGTCCAATCTCGACATGTAAAATGTGACCAGTTTGGTGGGAACTGCATCGACCGTGGAGAAGAAACGATCAAGAATATGATATCAAGTTGGGATGTGAGCCGTAGGATTTTCCATGCAGCAAGATATATAAGCTATGATGCAATGAATCACAACATACCAGCAAAACAAAGATATATAAGCTATGATGCACTGAAACACAACGTACCAGCAAAACAACATGGTCAAAAGGATCTACCAGATAACCAATACCGAAGAGCATGTCTTCTCAATACATTATGTTTACGGATTCCGAACTAAACATAAACAGTCTTCTTCTTTTTTTGTGCAACCCAAATAACTTTTTATTTCTGTTTTCTATCTTAAATTTTCATTTTCTTTTATGTTTTATGTTATTTTTAATTAGTATCTCAATAAAATATTATTTAATGGCGCATGTGTCCATCAAATTTATATGGGTGAAAAGGCAATTGTAAATGGACATATAAATATATACATAAATATATGTTTTAATTTATAACACGTTACTATTGATGAGCTTCCAAGCCTTAACATTTAATTATAGGACCTCCTCTCTCAATCCAGCATCAATGAGCACATATAATAACTACGACTTTTGATAGACTTAATACATATTACAACTACATGCTTTGATTAATTACTCGAACATGCATATTTTAACCCAATAGATACACAACGGGTATTGCTGCCACAATCTACTGAGAAAATGCATACGTCTAAATGTTTGTGTTGGGGTGATTTTGCACCTCTTAATATGAGAGTTAGATAACATGCGTATAATACCAAAACACTATGGCAATAATGAAAAGGTTTATTTGAAATTCGAATTTCCCAAATGAGTTGGACTAATCAATTAAAGAAAAAGAACGGAATCAGAACAAGTAGGTCTACTCAACTTTCGGTAGGTGGTGGTGGTGGTAGAAAAGAGAATAAGATTCAGATCGTATCATGATATTACGAGTAAATGCCAAGTGGAATCATCATATGAAACACCATTTTAAATCAACGCTCTAACAGTACAATGCATATATATATATATATAGAAACATCAGAAAGATTTTAATCACTTATCCATTCCAAAGAAAACTAATCAACACAAGTATATATATACAAAGAAAAAATGCTTGATAGCCTTACCGGAGGGTTTGGACACGGGTACGGCCACAATGACCACAGACGCAGCGGCGGCTACGGCTTCGAGGAGCGCAAGGAGTTTGTGGCTCATGAGGAGTCAGAAGAAGGCTACTTTGACCGTCAAGCCCGCTACAACCGTCACATGAGGCTTCCGGCCAACCACGGCCGTCCACCAATGGCTCACATGCCTGTCTGTGATGAAGAAGAGTCAGACGTGGAGGAGTTCTTTGAGAGCAGTCAAAGCCACCACACTACTGTGTTGCCGCACCATGGCAACAAGCACCACCAACAGCCACCTCATATGAACTTCATGCCCCCACCTCCGATGGCTCAGCCTCACCACAACGTAAGCTCTCTCTCTCTCTCTCTCTCTCTTTTGGTCTCGTGACCTTACTAATCATGTTATGCTATTCATATTCTTCTAAGGTGCCTTGAAAACTATATTAGAAATCCTGAAACTTGATGCTAAAATGTCGTTAGTTAAAATTATGGAAGCTGGTTTATATACTATCTGACTAGGATATGTAGCTTAATATGTCATTGCGCTAGCAACCAAATTCAAACATGTGACGAGAAAAAAAAATCACATTCAAAAGAATAACATTTTCATAAATAGTTTTAAAATCAAAAGTCATGTGTAAATGCACCAATCTTCCATTCTATCCAACAGTTTTATAATTTTTGTATGGTTCTTGCTATTAGAATTTTGGTTCATGGTCATTTTTCCAGGGAAAGATGGGTAATGGATGGCAAGAAGATGCATACCACGGTGGCCACAGTGTGCATGGGATGCAACAGCACCACGGTGGCCACGAGATGCAGCACCATGGTGGCCACGGTGCGCATGGGATGCAACAATATGGCGTGCATGGGATGCAATCCCATGGCAAGCACGGGATGCAATCCCATGACACGCACGGGATGAAGGTTAAGCACCACGACAGGCTTATGGTTCCGCAGGTTTCACCCCATAGTGTGTACATGAACCCCGACCACGGTAGTGGTGGTGGCCATGCTGTAGTGATGAAGGCTTCGGAGCAATGGAGGATGAGCAACAGCAGCGGTGGCCACCAGAAGGCCGGGTGGGGAAGTAAGGGACTCTGACTGCACCCAAATACTCTGCCGGCTCAAATAAGAAAGTAATGATTACGTATGCCAAAAATAAATGTATGCGTGTGTTGAACATGTTTCAGTATCGTATCGAAACCAAACATGCATGGGACTTATACCCAAAATGTGTTCTTGCTTGTATAATGACCTTATGACTTTACTAAGGAGTGTTGTTGTTTGCTGCTTTTGTTATATAAATTTGATGAAAGTATAAAGTACTTAATCCACATGGAGAGATTGATTACACAAAAAATAACTAGACTTTTTTATTTTATTTTAAATATCTACATTTTGAGATTTCATGCAAACGTTCAAAATGATGATGGTAATGAAAATGATACATAATCCTCTAAAGAATCGTAAGTTTTTTTTTTGTGTTGCCAAAACATGTCCCTACGAAGATTCTGATAATTTTGACATCCATAATTTGGATTATAACTTATAAGTAACTCTATGGTGTAACAAAACCTTAGTGAATTCATAATTATAGTTGATGGCATTGTATTAGAATCTTGACCTCAACCCACTCCACAAGAACCATTTGGTAAAGCATACCACAAACGGTAGCTGAAGGGTTTGTGTGTCACTAGGTCTTATAAGACTTTGATTTATTCTCTCCTATCCGATGTGAGTTATTTGTACAGTCTCATCCTTATCATTATCCCATCTTTAGCGACTTCCACGGAGCTAATGGCTGGTACTTAAGCCGCTTAATTACACCTTTCCCATTTTGATGTGTCTCTCACTTTCAATCCAAACTAGTCAACCGTTGCATGTCGGGAGGACCACTTCATAAAAGGTGGTCCCAAACAAAGCCCACAAAGACTTTTGGATACAACATACCACAAAAGATCAAAAGCTAACTTAAAGGTCTGTGCGTCTTTAGGTCTTATGAGATTTTTATTCGCATATCCACATCCTTATCACATTAAAACACTATAACATCATCTCAACCAATAGGGGAATATTGAATCATTGACGTAAAGTTTCATAAATCCGATGAACCGAAGACCGACTCAAGAACTTCCATGATACATGTTAAAAGAGACTCTTTGAACATTGCAATCATTAGATTCGATTCTACCATCACGATTGAAGTGATTAGATTGTACATAAGCCGCATGTTCTTTCCTCTGTTCTTTACTAAAGTTGCGGTCAAGACACGCCATTTAATCAACTATTAAAGGCATCTAATGCCTCGAATAACCAACAGTAACTCTTGTTTACCGCTCTTTGTTTGTCCATGAGCATAGCAAGTAGCAACTGTCCTCTAATCCCATTGGCCCACCTCTTCAAAATTTCTATGTTAAGTTGTATGTATATTATTCCTTCTTGTTGAAGCCACTCACGTGTATCAATCCTTTGCTATTGTTAAATATTAAACCATTTATACAACAGTAGACATATGCGTGATCTATATATATTTAATGGTCCAAGAATATTGGCCAAACCTGGAATAATTCCAAAGAGGGCACAAAGGAAAAAAAGAAGGTATAATCGTTAAACTTTTACCCTAAAAGATGCTTATACTCTAAAAGATGCTTCTACTGTATATGGTTCTGGTGATTTCAAATGTATCTCGAGAAACAGAAAGAGAGCAAAATAAAATATGATTGCTTAGCATAAAACTTTGCTTAGCATAAAACTCATCATCACCATCACCATCACTATCACATGAACTCGATGGCTGAGAAACCGAAACAAGTTTATGGACTAGCTAGGAAGACTTGAGTTTGAGTAACGTGATGAGGGAATTTCACATCATCTGAGGAAGGTGAAGAGGATATCAAAAGATGAAGATGTTGATTGTTGACAAAGAAGCAGAGAATTTCATCAATCTGGAGCACATGAAATTCAGCAACTGGATATGATTACCACCATCTAAATTTCCTCCTAACTTATTGTTCCCTTCCGATAGAATATAAAATCTCTAGTACTATATGTAGATTGTAATATGTGATTACGTCTTAATTACCATATACATCTACTTTATTTTGGTTCTTAACAAAACCTGTGTTATCATGTGGGAATCTAAATATAATTACTCCATACCAGAGTAGAATTTGAGAATCTTAGAGCTTAAACTGAGAAAGATAGAGTTTCTCAATGTTGTCAAATCCTATGGCCTTTTAATTGTCGATTTTAAACCAGAGACCGACCCATGATTGTGACTGTATCAAGAAATTCAACACGCCATCTTAAAACAATGCTCATTTTCCTCAATACAGAATTTACTTACTTGTAGATTGATCAAAGCCCACAATCTTGACATTTTATATAGCACATGCTACTAAATGCAGAAGTGCTCTAATGGGATCAAGATTGGGATACACACATCTTTTTCTTTATTCGTTGGAAGGTTCTGTTGTGAGTTAAGAAGAGATGGGTATCCACTACTTCATTAACCTATACAGACTCTATATGTAAATGCAAGACACTATTGTAAACTGAATCTGTCAGCGTCTCGGTCTGGCTAATTGACAACTCTCCTATTAAATCCTATTAAATGGTGGTTGCTGTTGAATTGGAGGAGCCTTCAACTTGTAAGGATTTGAAATAATCCTTCTCCGCAGAAGCCATTCTACTCTGGAACATGGTCCATTCCTTTTTGCATCTGTCCCTCACCTACAAAACCCACACACAGAAAATACAACATTGAAGTCGCTGGTGCAAAAGTTATGCGTCTTGCTCACAACACACAATTATCAACACGAGAGTGAGCTAAAAAAGGTTTCTTACCCCTTGCCATGGCGCTTTCCCGTCCGTTGCCTCACCCTACAGAAAGTTAATGAGAATCAGATTTGATGTAAGAGCAAGAAGAGAAATGAGATGTAGAGATAGTTGATGGGGTTTACTTGGCTGCCAAGGGAAGGGACAGTTTGATGAACGATCCACTGAGAATCTACTACTCCTATCTTCTCATGTGCAGGCTGCATTTTGATGTAAAATACATGCAGTTTTGTCATATAAGAAACGATTTAACTAAAAAGCCAATTAACTCTGCCAGTTTCGTGAGGAACAACGAACTGCAAGTGTTCCCTTCTTACCTCCACACATCTTCTGAGTGCAAAGTCAAGGCCCCAACCGTGAACCAAATCATTCTGTGGACAGTTTAGGTAAGACAAATAAGTAAGACAGACAAGAAGAGAGATTTAAGGAAGGGGAAGGAATATGAATAAAGAATGAACAAACAGGTGGTGAAGCAAAGGACCTGGATCATGTGCCACACGCATCGCCAGGCATCTCTTGAGAATACAGGAGCCATGATCTCGACGAATCTGGATATGTCGATTAGACAAAAGTTGTAAACTTATTAGTCCCTATTATAGGAAAAGTCAACTCATAACAGGAAGATAAAGAGGTTTCTACATACGCAGCACATGGAGGGAGATGAGGATCTGAGCACCATCCAGGTTTTTCTTCTGTTATCCTGATAAAGATTCAAAACCCGGAAATTTGTAAAGATCATTATGCATAAAACCAAACATGGCCAGAATCTGAGAGATTTTTGTCCATCATACTTGTGGACTTCAAGATCTCCTCTTCTCTTTGTCATCTGCCATGTCAACCCCTTGTTTGGTTCCAAGCCAGGTTGGGAAATCTCCAGGCCATGCTTCTTCACCAGCTTTATGTACCTGGACAAAATATAATCAAGATGATCACTACAGATTAAACGAAATAGAAGGAAACTATACATTTTCAAATGAAAAAAAAGTTAAAGAGAAAGAACCCATGTGGAGGCTTATAACAAACACTTACTCTTCTGCATTAAAATGCTCGACCCCAAGGTCTTCATCCCAGATGAATATATAATCATATCGTGCAACAATATCAGGGTGCAGAAACCTCTTCGCATACCACCTAACATATGTCCAGGTGTCGAGAGCGTCAATAGTCATAGACGTCACCGGAATATTCTCTAACATAATGAATGAAAAAGAGGTTATACCATTTCGTCTGCTTTCGCACGCTAATGTGTATAGCATTCTTCGACCATTCAAACTCATCCCACTCAGTTACCCGGCCGTCATAATGAAAAAGGAGAATAGTGAAGTTCCCTGAAAACTGTTGAGAAGAACATAAATCATATATGACGTGATATTGAAAGGCAAAACATCAAACAAAGGTAATGAACTAACCTTCTTGACACAAGCATCGATATTTTCTTTCTGATTAATACCCACAGTAAACGTCACGAGGTATCTTGGCTGGCTTGTCAAATCCTGAAGAAGCAAAAAGGCAAAACAAAAAAAAAAAAACTCTCTTATCAGGCTTTTTATGTTGGAATAGCAAGAGTGCATCTCAGTCAAAAAGAATAGGTTCATGATAAAAATTTATTGAGCACACACCTCATGAGGTAAACCCCATAATCTGCGCAAATAGAAGTCTGATTCAGCAGCAACTATACCCGGTGGCAATCTTTCAGCACCACGAGGATTTGAAGGAACCCAGATCTGCAGCAAACTCAGAAATGAAACATGAAAACATGGATGGGAAAACGTGTATCCAATAATCTTAAAAACACAAGAAGAAAAGGTCAACAGAGAGATGTTCTTTGCATGCATAGCTTCCATAATGTTTGGCAAGGTCAAATCTAGATGACTAAACTATCTAAAACGACATTATCTGCTAATTTCAATCTCAACTGATCCATAAACACGTATCCCCTGTTTTGATATCCAAACCTAATCAGACGTAAGAATCCTCAAACATATCTTTTATATCACTGGGTAGACCTTTAAGTTTTGTCTTTCCTCTATAAGGATTCATATCGGAGTATGAATGGATAGGTGTAGACCAAAATGGTATAAATGATACTGTAAAATTCTAAAACATTGCAAAGTTATAAATAAAGGAGTGGAAGCATGCCTTTGATTTGTCGATTGGATCCGATGAGCTGCTATCGTTACTCTTTGATGATGACCAAGCTTTATGACTTTCTGGAGTTGAAATTGCTGAACCCTTTTCCTCTATATACGAGAGATCGGTTGAAAGAAGAAATTTTGTTGGGAGACTCACCTGGAATATGAGAACAAAATCTACCTAGGATTAAACAAGGGCAAAATCTACTAAAACACAGAACATAAAGATAAAAGGTTGGTTCCACAACCTTAGTGATCGATAAGGATGGAAAAGATATTCCGACCAGAAAGCCGAAAGTTACTCCGAAAAATGCAGTTGCAATGATCTTCATTCCATCTTTTGATTTCCTACTAATGGAACTGAAATAACAAAAACACAAATTCAATTAAGGTTCTCTTCACCTCTAAAGAGCACAAACCAAATTAGTCAGTAACCTTCAAAGAATTATGAAAATAATTTATCGAGACGAGATCTTGACCTGCGTGAAAAGATTCCCATCTCTTCTCTAAGCTTCTGACTGTAGTTTCACAGCGAAAACGTGCAGCATGCAGTGCAGGAGCCACTCACTACTCCAAAACTCAAAGGCCTCTCCTGACAGTGAAGAAGCCAGGAACCTGCAATGGTTAAGACCGTGAGTCGTGATCTAGAGCAGCAGAAATGAGGTTTACGAAGAAGACACACACATGGCAAGACAGACAAGGATTTGCCTTTTTAAAATGGAAAAGTCATCCACCACACTTTTTAAAATTCTTTGTCAAAAAGGTGAGTCATTATCGTAAAACCTACAGATGAATACAATATAGTGCATCTAAACCAACCATGAGAGGAACAAAAAATAAAGCTTTAATACCAAACTATTGACCAAGACAACTAGTATGAGGAATACAAATCTAAAAAAAAGTCAAAAAACACACACGTTTACTTCCATTAGAGATCATTCCACTCCTACGATCACAATTGCAAGCAAAATGCTATCAACAAGCAAGAGTTCATGCGCTTCAATCACAGAACATGGAACTACAAAGTCGTCTTATACAGAAACAGAACAGTTTGCTTAGATTGCAAGACAGGAAAATAAACAATTCAAACCAAGGACTAAGACAGCTCAATTTCCTCTGTATAAAAATCACCTTTGATTAAACCAACACTAGCAGTAAAATGTTGAAATCAATCCCAAGCAGCCATTAAGACTAATTACTAAAGATACGTGTTTCAACATCAAGAGAAACAAATGGTACCGAGATGACAATTACCCGAAAACCTGTTACACTAAAATTCTCAAAAATTTATCCGATTACGATTGAAACAAACAAGAATACAATGATTTTCGTTTTCTGTCATCACATAAAAATCGATGCGAACCTGGGTTAATCAAATAAAAAAGGCACAGATCCCGAGAACCAGTGAAGCACGAGAAAATCGCTTCTTCAACACGAAGAAAAACAAACCCTAAAATTCCTTCTTTTCCCCAAAGACGCACACAAAACAACGAAGAGGTGTAAAACCCCGTGATCGCCTCTCGTCAAGAGACAAACCCAGAAAACGCCAAAAACGTGAGAGGAAAAATCGAAACGCGTTTTTCGAATCAAAGGAGTGAAATTTCTTGAAACCCTTATCGACCCTTGTTGTTTAAGGAAAATTTCAAAGCAGGCGTCGTAGGTTTTGGTTTGGTGACCACAAGGAATTTTCTGGCGTATATTTAGGTGCAGGGAGAAAGAAAACCGAAGAAACGAAGAGCTTCAATAAGCTCAAAATTAAGGAAAAGAAATGGTGAAATTGAAAAAAATCGAAAACCTGAAAAACGACAGCGTTTTCGAAGAAGTGTCACGATTTAATTGGCTTTTGACTCAAATGCGCGTAAAAGTAAGCAGCAACGACAAATACGATTCATAAAGGACCGACACTACACGCATATCCGTACTGTGCAAACATCTAATGGTGCCAATATAAATTAATGTTTTCATAATTTGGACATGTGAATGAGAGAAATCATATCAATGAAAAAACAAACAATTTTTACAAATTTTGAATAGTGTCAATTTTGTTGCAAATTATTTAGGAAAGCACAATTAGTGAGATCTTTCCGAAAATCACGCAAGAATTTTACCATTTTGCAAGACAAGAATGAAGAATCCAAGATGGTGCTCTAGAAGAAAGCAACAAAAACGCAAGATACTGATAATAGTAAGTGAAGTAGTTTCTAACCTTTAAAGAAATGTGTATGAACACGTAAACCAAATAAACACTTTTTGTATTTACTTTTGTGCACAACTTTGTATAAATAGAGCGTCGAATGTATGACATTGCTATAATGTATCTTACGGGTTATAAAATTGATGAATTTATATTTTTTGGTCAACATTGCTAAAATTAATGAGGTTTGACTAATGTATATATGCAAATATACGGTTGCCTAACTATGTAATAAGGAAAGTGTAAAATTAAATTTCGTACCAAAGTAACCAAACTGAGGAGTCCACTTTCTTTAATAAAGAGGTCCCCCAAGTTTCCTTCATTTGCTTTTCCATAAAATGCGGTTAAGTAAATAATATAATACAATAAAATTTTTATAAATTAATAATGTCGAAATCATGATATTTTATTAATTTATCGAGATATTAATTTGTAGAGAAAATTATTTTTCATCTATCTTATTTTAAAATTTTCTTTCAAATAATATTATATTTAAGAATTTAAACTCAAATGTTTATAAAATTATATGCACAAATTTAAAGTTATGATTACTAATTTTTTTTTTCAACAACCTAAGCATCTATAGCGGTTCGACAAGCCAAATCGATGGTACCGAGTTTACATAGATCACGTCTTGCGGGTAGCCACGAGCACTTTTTGCAAGATTGTCCACCTTCGAGTTCTTTTCGCGGGAAATATGTGATAGCTGGAAGAAATCAAATTTGTCATTCACATTCCCAATTTCCTCCAAGTGTAGAGCAAAAGCAGGTCATTCTTCAAATGTAAACACTATCTTCACCAACTCTGAAAATTCTGTCGCAAAAGCTACTGGCGTCCTCTCGTTTGCAAGCATACAATGCATAGCCCAAATTAGAGCTTTTGTTTCCGCATGCAATAGTGTAAGACTGCGTCTTACATTCTGAGCACCCATAACTCTTTCCGTATTCTCTTCATGAAAATAGTACCATCCTAGTCCCGTTTTTTGTATCCGTATCTTTCCAAGAACCATCAATATAACACCACCATCTGTCATATCCTGTGGGATTAGCCAATGTCGTTAACATACCATTTCCAGTGGATGCTGGGTCCTGGTCCGTTCTATGGGCCTCCTCCCATAGAGTCGTTTCTGCTTCCGCAATCTTTAAAGTTATCTGTGGGTCTATATCCCTATCTGAGTACACTTTCTCATTATGTGCTTTCCAGATATACCATGTAATCTATGAGAATTGTATAGTTTTTATTACATTGGGAAGTCTCCAAAATAAATAGTCCCAGTTTGAGAAAATTGATGTTCCCAAGAAATAAATAGTCTCATTATGATTACTAATCATAACAATTGAAATAGATTACTTATTTATTTATTTATATTTGTTCGTTGTGGATTGAATTATCTATGTAAGAATATAAATGTTCAATAGTACAAATTTATAAAATATAATGTTGGTGCTAAAATTGAAGACAATATCATAATATATTTCAAAACAGTTACGCATAAGAAAATCGATTATCACATCTAAATTATTTCACAAATTTTGAAAAAAAAAAATAACATTAAAAGTTATTGATGTAAATAAGTAAAGAAAATGATTTTCAATAAAATTTTAAACTTAAATAAAAACAAACAACACATTAATCATATTTTCGTATATTATATCTTACCTATATATACATAAATTTCTATAATTATTAATTTATGTTTATGTTGGGACCATGTTTTTACATAGGAATTTCAAAAAATTATTATTTTATTATTTTATCGAATTTAATGAATTTTTATCATTCAGGACTAGAAAAGTTTATTAATTTTAATAATTATTAATTTATCGAATATTAATTTATAAAAATTCTACGGTAACATACATCATAGAGAAAACAGTGATTAAAAGATATTCTTTTTTGAGTTCAAATTGTAATAGTTTAGGGGCTAAAGAGTTAGGCTAAGCATTTATGGAAAAGAACTCCACAACTGTATGTCGAACTTTTCAATATTTGAAACTAACTTCCATGAAGTAAAGACTTTTATGTGAAGAAAAAACAGAAACAAAAAAGAATTGAAATGTTGTTTCTGGTAATGTGTAATAAACAATTTTGTTCAAGTCTACGTTACAAAGTCTTTACATATATAATACTGTCACAAGAATAGAGCTATATATTTACGTTACTAAGTCTTTAACCTAAGTAGACAAAGACTCTTTCGGGTTATGTACATAATAAGTTATTATTATTACACATTGATCAACAAATCAAACCCAAAAAATAGACTATACATTGGCTTCACCAAACATAAGGCAAAGCAAAATACTCGAGGCTAAGATATTTAACAAGACAAAGAGAAGCAAATGAAATTTATGCTTCATTGCCTTCAGATACTGTTGCGGTGAAGGGAGGGATCCATAGCTCTAAACGAGTACCACCAGCTCCTAAGGCTGCATCGGAGCTACGAGGTGATATAACCCTGATCACGCATCCGTAACTCTCCAGGATCTCTCGGGCTACGGTTAAACCAGCCACAAAGTTCCATGTCATATTGTCTTCAACCATGTTTTCCGACAGGAGTTCTGCTCCAAATGGTGTTAGCGAATGCATTTGCGTCTGCATTGATGGTTAAACTTCTATGTTAAGAACCTATACGGTTTGAGGTTAAACTGATAAAGCCTCAAGACATAAAAGCAGGAATCAAAGAGCAGCAGAAGATGAGTTTGGTCTTGTTTATACCATATAGCGCATGTCAGGACCATCATCATCAATTACAACCAGACTACCACCGGCAGGAGCTCTGGTCGACAAAATTTCGACTTTTCCTCCAACATGAGTGCGCAACAGTGCACCTTCGATGAGGTTGCTCAGAGCCTGCCTCAAAGCCGGTTCTTCAACAGCGACTTGTAGGGAAGCTGAGTTTTCACCTAGCTCCACCACTCTTTGCTGAGTAAGGGCAAGTGGTCTCACAGTCTCGACCATATCTATAAGCACATTAGAAATGTCGCATGGTCTTCCTGACATAAATGAAAGAGATAAGCCCTACCAGTGCATTGGTTCAAGTTTTCGTAACAAGTTCGTTAAGTTAATGGCTCAGGGAGCTTATACCTTATGCTGTGTGTTTTTAGGGGTGCAAGGGCCATAGGTGGCATAGGCACTTCTGAATCATCTGATCCAGAACCCAGGGAAAGGCGTGGACTCGGGACTTGTGACCCATCAATGGGATCCTTATGTTCATAGTTACCGGAATACTTTGATCTCCTTGTTTCATTATGTGTTTTGTTTATCTTCTTCAGGGCTTCTTCGTTGTGGCGGACTATATTAGCCTGAAATTGAAATGCTTAGGAATACACTTACAAAAAATGAACTGGCGTGCGGTTTGTAAGGAGGAATCTCATGCTTAACCCATCTAAGACAGATTTACGAAAACAACTGACAAATGATTCATGACTCTTCTAAGTACTGAAAGAGACAAAGTAAGAGAAGGTGGAACCTTTGTCAAGTGAACTGCATCCTGAAGTTCTTGAAGGGTGTCTCTTATTTGTTCGCCTTGAACTATTAAGTCTTCGACAATATCATGTGAAATCTACAAGGTGAAAAAAACCCAAGTCAGTCCGATAATTGCAAGACTCAGGGAGAACAACACTTCCCAGCCAAATGTTAGTGCAAGGACCTGATTTCTCTTCGTATGAGTTGAAAGCATTTTACTTAAAGTCCTGATGGTAGAGAGAGGACCACGGATCTGCGAAAGAGCAAGAAAAAAATAACAAACTATAAAACTAAAGGAAACGTTAACGTAAGATCAATGTGTGTTAAGATAACAAGTGTGTGGCTCGTACCTGCTCCACTAGCTTACTCATCCTCACATTGTTTTGCCAAGATGACTGTTGAAGCAGCATTGTTTTCTAAACATACCCATAGAAAGAAAAAAATAGTAAGTATTAAAGATAAGCCAAACACACGCAATGCACAACAAAGACGGACAAGCAACAGCATAAGCCCAAAGGAAGAGACAGGATATAGGAACAACCTGATCCATGACATATGCCATAGCGAGAGTCCGTGAAATATTAATGGCATAAGACCTCTGCTCTGCAGTGAACACCTTAACAGACGGAACCTTAACTTTTGGTGGCTTTGCATCAGCTGAACCAGGCAAAGCATAAGCTTCCTCAGGTGAAGGAAAATGCTTTAAACCACACGATCTTTCCTCCTCCTCCTCCTCCTTCCCCTCCTCCTCCTCAGCTTCTAATGGTAACTCAGCAACCAAGAAACCAACAACAAATGGGTGTTTCACCATTGGAAACACTGCAGCTCTATGTTTATTCACAACTTCTACCTATCATCATCATCATATTACGTCAACAACGAAAAAAAAAACTACTTTTTAAGCTATTTGCAGAGGAGGAAGAAGAACACACAAAAGTCAGTGACATACTTGTTGACTGGAGAGTGACGCTTCAGCCGCTCGAAGACCGGCGGGTATGCCAAAGTTTCCGACTAAGATCACAACGTCTCCGGCATTAACACTTGGGTAACAAGTGACACGACGCAGCTCCAATCGATCCATCACGTAGCTACCAGCTGGTCTCACATATATCTGAAACCAAAAATTAACAAAACCCCAAATCAATTTGAAAACACTTTTCATTTGGATAAAGAAGAACAGAGACGCACCGAGAGGATTGCGTTTGGATCCACGATTCGACGAAACAGATCCAATTGCTCGAGGCAAAGACGCTGGAAATCGGGGCTTGGCAAGATGATCTTCGTCTTGAGATGGTCTTTCTCAATCAACTGTGTGAACTCCACAGGAGTCGTTGAAGCTCCACGAATCGCGGAAGCGATGGCCGAGGCAGACGCCACCATGGTGGTTTCTCCTCCGCTGCCGCCGCCGCCTGCGGAATCTGATGCTCCATCGGATAAAGTGTGGTTCACGTAACGGAGATTGCGTGTGGGAAGGGTGTATATAGAAGGAGGCGACGACGAGGAGGAAGACGCATTGGGTAGCTTAAGAGACGAATTAGAAGGTCTAGGGTTTGGAATACAATTGCAAAAGAGTAACTTAGGGTTCGGTGAGAAAAGGGTCTGAGATGAGATTGCAGAAAGAAGCATCACTACCGGAAGACGACAGTCGAGTTACTTGTGGCTGAGACTGAAACTCTGCGAGGAAGACGATACACAATGATATTACGACACACATCGACTAACACTAAAACGGCGTCGTATTCAAGTGGATATTTTCTTTTTGGGTAAACATAAAACCAAACTGGATTTGAATCAAACCCGGTTTTATATGGTTTCATTTTCTACAAAACCGAACCATAAACCAATCTTTAAAATCAAACGTTTTTTCTTGAAAAATCGTAACTTTTAGTTTTTTTGTTCGTATCTCAAAGTTTCTACTTTTATATTTAGAGGATAAAAGTCCCGTGATGGAGTTTGGAAGCTTACTTTCTTAGGATGCTCTTTACTTCTTCTGCTTTATACCAAACTATGAAACCAATCATATCTTCTTTCTTTGCTCTCTCTTTGCTTTCTTCACTCGCAACATCATCACTATCAGCGCATGCCCATCAATGCCACTTCCCCGCAATCTTCAACTTCGGCGACTCTAACTCCGACACCGGCGGTCTCTCCGCCGCTTTTGGCCAAGCTGGTCCTCCTCACGGCGCTTCTTTCTTCGGCCTACCCGCCGGGAGATACTGCGACGGTCGCCTCGTTATTGACTTCATAGGTGATGATACTAATTATACTCTTTTCGTTGTTACAAGTTTGCGTTTTTGCTGATTACTATCTTCTTTTATTGACATAGCGGAGAGTCTTGGATTGCCATATCTAAGCCCGTTTCTAGACTCTGTTGGTTCAAACTTCAGCCATGGAGCCAACTTTGCGACGGCAGGATCTCCGATCAGAGCTCTCAACACCACTCTTCGTCAAAGTGGATTCAGCCCGTTTTCACTCGATGTTCAGTTGGTTCAGTTCTACAATTTCCACAACAGATCACAAACAGTTCGCAGTCGCGGTACGTCTTTCTATGGAGTACATAGAAGCATAATCACTTTTCAAAAACGCGAAAAGTTGGTAACTTTTTGAATTTGGGCTTCATATTATGACAATGTCACAGGAGGAATTTACACGACGATGTTGCCTGAAGCAGACAGCTTCTCTCAGGCGCTGTACACTTTCGACATCGGTCAGAACGATCTCACCGCTGGTTACTTCGCCAATAAAACAGTCGAACAAGTTGGAACCGAGGTTCCTGAGCTCATCAGCCAGTTCAAGAAAGCTGTCACGGTCAGAGACTCTGTTTCATACTCTGTTCCAAATGAATTGTTTTGTGTTTTAAATGGAATCATCATAAATGTTGTCTCTTTTTTGGATGACAGAATGTTTACAAACAAGGAGGGAGATACTTCTGGATTCACAACACAGGACCTATCGGTTGTTTAGCGTATGTGATCGAATGGTTTCCGATTAAAGCATCAGACTTTGATCCACACGGATGTGCCTCTCCATTGAACCACTTAGCGCAACGATTCAATCATGCCTTGAAACAAGCCGTGATCGAGCTCAGAGCTTCCTTGCCTAAAGCAGCCATTACTTACGTAGATGTCTACTCTGTTAAATATGAACTGTTTGTTCACGCGCAAGGTCACGGGTTCAAGAGATCGTTGGTTTCGTGTTGCGGTCATGGAGGGAAGTACAACTACAATAGGAACATTGGGTGTGGGAAGAAGGTGATTGTGAAAGGCAAAGAGATGTACATTGGAAAGCCATGCGACGAGCCTGACAAGGCCGTTGTGTGGGACGGTGTGCACTTCACGCAGGCTGCTAACAAATTCATCTTCGATAAGATCGCAACCAGATTGAGCATGGCCTGTCACAGGCAGTGACAAGTGACCACAACAACAACAACAAGAAAGAAGCTTCTTTTTCTTTTGTGAGTTTGTTTGTAAGTTCTTAGAAAGGAACCTGTGTTTTGATTGTCACTGATTAATGAACTTATTAAGAAGGGAATAAGATTTTTTTGGTGAGAAAGGTTCATCATTTATCAACAAGAATCTCTACATCATCATTAAAAGTCTCCAAAGGATATGAAACATATATGGACTTACAAGCATATGTATATGAAGGGTTTTTTCAGCATTTGTAGTGGTTGAGATCCACAATCACCACTGTGATATCATCCATACTACCTCTACTCACAGCCATGTCCACGAGCTCTTTGCAAGCCGCCTTGGTCCAAGAAGACTCGGTCTTCATCTTTATTCGCTTCAACGCAGTGATCTTCCGTGACTTTGAAGGTGGACTCAGGTGGGGAGAAGGTAATTCATTCTCTGAATGGTAGTAACTTGTGGATTTTGCAGATTTGGGAGACTGAACTGGCAACAACTCTTTTCGTTGCTTGACAAGAGAAACTCGCCGAAGTTTCGAGGATGGGCTTACATTGACAAGGCCATGGATCAAGTTCTCATCCTCGCTTTCTCTAGGCGTCTTTCTTGGAGCTAGAACACGCAACACGGTGTCAACTGCTTCTTGGTTACTAACAACATCCCAAAGTCCATCAGAAGCTAAGACAAGAAACTCCATATCTTCTTCTAAATCGAGTATTCTTGTGTCGGGTTCAGCAACTACCCATTTCTTTAGGTGTGCATCTCCAATGCTTCTGGAAATAGCGAGTATTCCATGAACTCGCCAAGCCCCTTTATGGAATTCGACATAGCCTCCCTAATAGAGCAAGTATCAAAGCTATTCCCTCAACAAAAATCAGCAAAATTACAATTTTCTTCACAGTCTTACCTGATCTTCGATTCTTTTGCGTTCATCATCTCTTTCTGCTTTATGATCACTTGTAAGAGCCTCAGCAACTCCTCCTCGACACAGGACAGCTCTGCAATCTCCCAAATTCGAGACAATCATCTCTTGATTTTGTATCAAAGCTGTAACACAGCAGGTACCACTCACTACACCCTGCATTTGTTGGTAACCAGTAAGTTCAAGTAGATTGTAATCTTAACAAGTAACTCTACTCATGAACAATTCAAGCATTATTGTTTTACCTCTTCTAAGAAATCACGATCTGTACTCAAATAAGCAGTTTTAAAGGCTTCTTCTTTCTCCCCTTTCTCCTCGCAATTCTTCATCATCTCAAGAACATTTTTGTGCAGATTCTCAGCAACAAATTCTGCAGCTTTCCCACCTCCATGACCATCATAAACTCCAAAGAAACTCTACAACTCAAAATCCCCACAAAAACCAATTAACCATAAACCATTCAAGATTTAGAACAAGGAAGCGAAGGGGAAGAAACATACCTTATTTGAGCTTCCGGCAAAACAAGGAGCGATTCTGTGACAGTCTTCCATGAACTTCTTCTTGCCTTTTCTGGAGAAAACACCAAAATCGTTGCCTCCGAAGCACACGGCGTCGTTTTGGTGAGAAAAGTCTTTGAATCTGAGATTATCAGTTTGAATCTCTTGAAGGACATTGGGGATCTCTATCTGGGGAGGTCTCTTTCTCTTCAAAGACGACATCTTTGGGACCAATAACGGTGAATTATTCAAAGGTGATTCCTTGCTCAGTCTATTTTCCATGGCAGGAGAAAAAGTCGCCATTTTTTCTCCTGAAAGTACTGTGAACATATTGCCTCAGAGCAACGGCTACAAAATGTGAGCGGAAAAAGTCAATGGTAGAGAATAGACGCTTTAGGGTTTTTGGCTTTTTGCTCAGTCAAAAACGAAGAAAAAGTTGTTTTTCAAACATTCAAATGGCGAAACTGAAATTGGAGAAAGAAAACAAAATAATATATATGGATTGTACCGTCTATTAAATTTTAAATATAAGTAGTTAAAAATAATTATAAGTAAAAGTGTTAAAAATAAAAATGATGATACATAGACCGAGAGACGTAAATATTTACATCAAAAAATCTGTAACTAGCATGGTTAGAAATGAAAAAAAATTAAAGAAATTAATGAAAAGACAAAATTTTCCACAGCATTTTTTGAATTATTAAAAATTTGATTATAACTAAAATGATACCATTACTGGAAAAAAAAAACTAAAAAGATACCATTAATTTATCAAAGATGTAATTTTTCCAAAATTATTTCTAAATTTGTTATTACTTATTATTGATAGGTAAGACAAAGAAAATGAAAACGAAAAAGTATGAAATCTTTTGGAATGTTAAAAACGGTTATACATGAAAAATATATAATACAAAAATTATGATGAAATTAAAAACACAAACACAATTTTCAGAGTATTTTTAGAACTATTGAAAACGATTATAGGTTGGTATATTCTAACCTAAGTTCAAAATGGCATCAGCAATACTTAATTGGAAGAAAATTTAGAGTACTAAATATTATTGAAGAGTAAGAAATCAGATGCTGTGTTCACATTATTAAATTCAGCAATGTGGATGGTTCGGATTAAGCTTTCTATTTGGTGACAGCGTTTTTAGTTTTTAGTTGTGCGGGAAAAGCGATTTAAGAGTGTGGTACGGTTCAACTACGGTACGTGTGGAAAAATATATTTGCAGAATTAGTGCGGTTTGTATATAATAAGCGGTACAGAAGAATGTTTGATTGGTAAAAAAACAATTTACGGTCCATAATAAAATATTTGAATAGTAAACAAGAAAAAAATAACTTTTAATATAAAAAATACTATCTTTTTCAAAAATCTATTATTAAAATAAATATTTTAACTAGTTTGAATCTAATTAAGGTTATAAAAAAATATAGTTGTAGAATAGATACGATCGATCAGTACAAAATAAAAGGTGTAAAATAATATTTAATTGATAAAAAAACAATTTGTGGTAAGCAAAAGTTTGAATAGTGAAGAAACATCATAATAAATTTACAATGTTACATATTATATTTTTTTAAAAAAATATGTATTAACTATTTTAATTACTTATAAATTGATTAGTACATAACCTATTTTTATATTAATTTATTAAAAAATATACATTTTTTAGATTAAAAACGATGGTAATAGGTTAAAATATAATTTTTTTGTTTTTTTCATATATATGTAAACTACTGTGTTGTAAAGAATTTACATCAACTTTTTATTAATAAGAAATTAAAAAAATAAAAGATAATTAGCATATTTGTTTCATGGAGTGCGTTATTTAATTGATACCACTGAATTGCTGCGGGACTAAAAATTTGCGGTCCAAAGGTTAATTAGGCCAGTTGAAAACCGCAAATGACTTTTGACAGAATTTTTGAAGAACGCAAATAATTATTAAAGTTGGTGTGATTGGTGTTCATTTGCGTTTTTTAAAAAAAATTCTGAAAACCGCACTCTTACTTGTTACCATTCAGAGCATTAGTCTTGCAAAATACAGAAACACAAACGTTCGATTTATGTTCCAGAGTGCTTTACAAGAACATTACAAAGAAGAAACACCAAGTCACCAACAACAACATTTTCATATAGTGAAATCATAATCCAAAGGAAGCAATGAAACAGAGTAATCAGAAGATTCCATGTAACTTCTTCTTCTTCCATTAACGTAATTAAACAAAAGATCATGCTCCTGACGATGCTGTACCAATCTTCTGTCTTCTTCTCGGTGCGCCACATCATCATCATCACCGTCAAAAAAAGGCAAGGTCCGTTTTTGCATACTCATCAAAACGTTATGCCACGTGTTAACTCTCGATTGTGCCTTCCCGTGAACACCAACGTTCATCTCCGACAAATCCTCGCTTCTTACGCCCATCACTTCCTCCGGTTTAGCACCGTCAAGAATCCAGATAAGACAAGAACAAAACCCTTTCGAGATCTCCGAGTCGCTGTCTGCTTTAAACCTCATCCTCCCTAACTCGTCCTTCTTGATCTCTAACCAAACCTGAGTCGTGCATCCCGTGACTCGGTTCGCCGGAACACGAGCCGAGTCGTCGAGTGGGGCTAGAACCGTCGCGTAGTTTAAAAGACGTTTGACTCGGTCTATCGGTTCGGTTAAGGACCGGAACTCGGTTACGAGGAGACGCAGCTTGTCGGCTGATGAGGTTGTTGTTGTTGTTGTTAAGAGAGCTTCTTCTGCTTCGAGTGATGAAACCGTGGCGAAAGAAACAGAGAATTCGTGGCTTGATGAAGGGTTTGGATTCGATTTCGAACCGAAGTTAAGATTGATGTTAGAATCTTGCATGCATCTAATCCTTTTAGGAGAGAATCTTGAAGGAAATTTTGGGTTACGGAGAGATTTTACAGTTGGTCTGAAGGTGGAAATGAACAGAGGAGGAGAAGCAACGGCCTTTAACGACGATATCGATGAAGTAGTGTTCATGTTCTGTTAATTTTCAAGGGAAATTGAGAAAAAGGAAAATGGAAGGGAAAAAAGGTAGAAGAAGAAGAAGAGGGAGAGAGAAGATAGAGAGATATTTAAGGATAATCAGAGGAAAGCTCCTTGAACTACGCGACGGAGAGAGATGATGATGATGATGGTGATTATTAAAAGTACAGAACTTTCTAATACGCGCCAAAAAAACTATTGTTCTGTTCTTTATTTATTTTTTTGGTGTCTAGATGTGTTATAAATGATTAATGAGAATCATTTTGATAATACACTATTTTAAGCTTCGATTTTTTTTTTTTTTGGTTGGTCAACAGTTTGCTTCTATTCTTACAAACTAAAATTTTCAATTTGTTTTTCATTTTACGTAAGTGAACTTTTAGAAAAATAACGAAATGGTAATAGACTAAATTGGTTTTATTTATTGTCAAATTGTTCTATTGATTTCGAAAAAATTGATTCTTTGCAAACGTAAAATTATCTCTTAACTAGTCAATATATGTTGTAAACATCTTTTGACTCGAATTTGTTTGAAAAAATATATATAGCGGCAAGAAAATATAACTTTAGATTTGTATACCAATCATGATCTTTTTGGTATATTCAATAATCAACTTGCATTGCCTTTTTTATTGTTTAGTCCAAGCAAATCCAACGTACTTGGATGCTTACCTAAAATTTCAATTGAGTTGATACTTTGAACACTTGGATAAAATAATTTTAACCAGATAAAGTGTACTAAATTACTAATGATCTCCATAGGTCTGTCGATTAATCTAACTTTCAAAAGAATGTTATACTTTTGTGAAGGGTACATGTTCATCTAATCTATACATCTATATAGTTATGTGGCAAAGTTATCATATTTTTTTGTTTACAAAGATCTTGAACTTATAATATAGGAGGAGTGATATTTTGTTTTAATAATGGATTTGATTGAAAAGAGTGGGCGAGTGTGAGTTAAGTGAGTGATTCAAACACGACCTAGTCAACAGAAGAACCAATTTCAAAGAGAGTGGCTATGAGTTTACAAATTAAAAAATAGATTGCAAAACGAAAGACGAAATGTTTTCGATCATTTGATGATGTAAATGGAGAAGATACGATGAACGAAATTTGAGACCGCCTCTAGAGTGACCAATCTAAATGGGAAGATTAAAGGCACGTGCATAGCTTTCTCTTTCGATCTACCAACTCCATTTCTACTACAAAACATTTTAGTTTCTCTGAAAATTATTAATATGATTTGCGAGTAAAGACATCAAAAGCATATTCGATTCGATTACTGACCCATAATGTAGGAAAGGGATATGGGAAATCATATATAATATATTGTTCAAAAAAATCATATATAATATATAGTTTAAAGTAGTTTTCATTTCGTCATAGCTGACGGTTACACTCGACTAGAGTGTCCCGGCCAAAATTAGCTTCTAATTTTTTTTTATCTTTCTAATTCTTTATTTCCATTATATATCTTAAACAATTCGTTTGTATATATTCCAATTATAAAAATGTAAAGCACTCAAAATAGTCTAGAAACTATATTTATTGAAAAAGTAAAAAAAAAAATATTTATCATTTAACTACTTTCATAAAGAAATGAATCTTTTGGATTTACTTACATGTTGGCATAGGAACTAGACCATCTTATTGTTGGAGAAGCATTCTTCAAAAGTAGACTTGAGATGTCAAACCTGTGGTCTTGATGGAGAATCGAGTAACCACTTTCTCTTTACTTGCTCATATGCTAGGCATGTATAGACTATATCAGATTACCCCTGGCCTAAAGATGGTTTTTGATGAAGAATTGTTCTATGCTAAATTTCATAATCATATTGAAAATTGGAAAAGATCAACCATTCCCTTGCTGAATATAAGGAGATACCCGTGGATCATGTGGTATTTTTGTAAGAATAAGAACAAACTGTTGTTTTTTGAAGGAAAATTGTTCTCAATCCGCCAATGATTAAGTGCAAAAAATAGATAAAAAGGTATCATGTTGGGTGAATGGATCAGGTGTTGGATGCCAATGATAAATTTGTCCACAACCACATAGAGAGTTAAAAAGCAAAGAAAATGGAAACATCCACCTGAACCGTGGCTCAAATGCAATGTGGGATTCTCTTAGTTTAAGAAGAAGCTTTTAGATGTTGTGGCATGGATGTTAAGAGATTGAAATGGGACAGTGAAAATGCAGAGCAGCCAAGCTTTCTTGAACATGAAGTTGAAGGAGGAGGTGAAGCTATAGAGTTTAGTATGGTCTATTGACAGTATGCACATTCATATCATCAATAGAGTCATCTTTGCTTCTAAAGCATCAGAAATGGTTTGGAGTTATTACAATACATAAAAGCTTGACCTTCTTTTCATTACCATGCAGCCAAAATTAGAGCGAGTTTGACTCTTTTTGGAGATTGGAGAATAGAGTTAGAGATTGGGGCAACAAAATAAGCAAATGGGATTCTCTTAGCACAATGTGTGTTACTAATGGAAACAAAAGTCAATCGTACGTTGGCACGTGTCATGACCATATAAAAAAATTTGCTTAGAGAAATTACAGGGATTTATTGCAATTTCCGCTTTCCTTAGCATTCATTTTTCACGGTTACATTCTTTAGACTATTTTTCACGGTTACAGTCTTGACATCATGAGCAATAAGGGTAAATTGGAGAGAAATTGCTGACGTGGAGTGGAAATACTAATTTTTAAGTTTCTTTTGGTATCTACTTAATTTTTTGGTCAACTTTTGGTATATAATAAAATCACCCTAATTTAAAATCCTAATCCAAGATACTATCCTTCTTTTTTCGATAAAAAATAAAATAAAATACACTGTTGGTCTTGGTCAAGTTAATATCGACTTAAAAAAGAAATATCTAATTTTATATTCTGAAATAGATACGTATATAAATGACAAAATTGTAAATCATAGATTTATGTAGTGAAAATCAATTTTACAAGAAATCCTCTGGCAGATTGGATTTTGCAGGTAACGTCTCTGCTCATTAAATCTTTACCCTCTCGATTAGTTTAAACCCCATTGGAAATTTCGAAAACAAGCGATGTTTGAATCAGCCAACTCGTAATCCCTTGTTTCCTTGTAATTTTCCGAATTGGGTTTCCTGTTACTTTATCATTTCTTGTCGGAAAATCTCTCATCAGAGAGTTTCCTTGTAGTTCACGGCGATGCTATAGTCCTCCTTGAAAGCGACTGTCTTACAAAAATTACTTTAATTTTGTAACCAATGTGAAATTTCCAGATTCATACTTGTTTTTAAACAATGTAAAATGAGACGAATTTGATGGGAAAAAAACAAAATTTAGATTTGTCAAAAAGTCTTCCCAATTGATCTCTGAAAACCCACCAGAAATTCAAAGTCAATAAGCTCTCGTCTATATATATCTGTGTGTGGATTATTCATAAAGAAGGGTACTTTTTGTTGGATTATCTGAATCGACATATATGCTTGAAGTGTTGCAGGTGATTGTGTTATTTATCTTGTTCTGGGTTTGGTTCTCTGTGATGGGAGGAAGTATCTCAAAAGACTCGACCAGAGGCCGAGGTCCTCAGAGGTATGATCAGAGGTATTCTCGAAGCCTGTTTGCGAGCTCGTCTGTGTCTTCTTGGGGACATTATGGAGATCAGAATAGCACTTATCATACACCAAACCATCCATCTGCAAGTCCTGCCCCCTCCTACAATACTGGAAGACAAACTCAAAAGAGTCTTGAGAGGAAGTATTCACGGATTGCTGATAACTACCGCTCCATCGATGAGGTTTGAATCAAAGAAATATTCATTCATCGCTTCTTTTGTGTAGTTTTTGAGCCTTTTGGTGTGTGAATTTCTTTCTCCATTGGTGTTTTGTTGATTTTTTTTTCTCTCAACAGGTTACTGCTGCTCTTTCACACGCTGGTTTGGAGTCCTCGAATCTGATTGTTGGTATTGATGTCACCAAGAGCAACGAGTGGACAGGTTAGAGAAATGATCTCTATGTACAAGTATCTATAGCCAATGTTTGAGTCCAAGTTGATCTGAAAGCTGACTCATTGATTTGATTTAGGGGCGAGATCATACGGTAGGAAGAGCCTGCATTACATTGGAACAACTCCAAACCCTTACCAGCAAGCTATATCCATCATTGGAAAAACTTTATCGGTTTTTGATGAAGATAACTTGATCCCATGTTATGGATTCGGAGATGGTAATAACCATTAATACCTGGTCTTTTTTTTCATTTAACTGTTGAGTTTGTTGTATTGTCTGTGATTATAGAGACTTTAAAATTGGTTTCTTCGGTTTTTGATTATGCAGCTACAACTCATGATCAGGATGTCTTCAGTTTCAATCCCAATGATAAATTCTGTAACGGGTTTGAAGAAGTTCTCATGTGTTACAGAGACATTGTTCCCCAGCTCCGGCTTGCAGGTTGAGTGAGATAAAGCAAACCGTTTTCTTCGTACTCTTAGCTCTACTTTTTACTTGATATATTGCCGGTTCTGTAACAGGTCCGACATCTTTTGCACCCATCATCGAAAGGGCCATGACAATTGTGGAAGAAAGTGGCGGTCAGTACCATGTTCTTCTCATAATCGCTGATGGACAGGTAAAGAACACTGTGTTGGAACCTTATTTTGAGTTCAGTTATGATCACTCTCAGACATTTGTATAGTTACCATCGAAACTTTTATTGTGTCAGGTGACAAGAAGTGTTGATACGGAGCATGGGGCAGTCAGTCCACAAGAGCAGCAAACCATTGACACCATTGTTAGAGCAAGGTATTTCTTCGAGGAAAATCCAGTTTTATTATGTTGCTCTCTACATGTGATTCTAATTTGTGATGGAATACGTTTCAGTGAGTATCCATTGTCGATAGTTCTTGTTGGTGTTGGAGATGGCCCCTGGGACACCATGAAACAGTTTGATGACAACATCCCTGATCGTGCCTTTGACAATTTTCAGGTAAACTTTCTGCAATAGTGTAGATCCTTGTCCTGTTGTCGCTCCATTGAATCATTATCATTGAAATCCTTTCAGTTTGTGAATTTCACGAATATAATGTCAAAGAACATTGATCCGGCAAGAAAAGAGGCAGAATTTGCGCTTTCCGCTTTGATGGAGATACCGTCTCAGTACAAAGCCACCCTTGAGTTAGGATTACTAGGGTGAGTATATCTTCTGATACTTTATGAGTTCATCACTGTAATCTCTGCATCAGCTATGAACTGGTTTCAATAACAACCAATCTTTTTCCTTATTTTGGAATTCGCAGACGAAGAACCGGAAATTATCCAAACAGGATTGCGCTTCCACCACCAACTTATGCTACTCAATCTATGCGCAACAGTCCAAGAACTTCAAGATCAACCAGCTTTCAGAACAGAACACCACAACCATATGATATTGGTGTTGCCACTGCACCACTTTCACAAGCTCGTAATGATGGCCAGGTATTGCATGTAAATGAGGTTACAAAGAAAGAAACAGCATTGATTATCTTTCTGCTTAATCACATGTTTTTTGTTTGATGAACATCAAAACAGCTTTGCCCGATATGTCTAGTGATACCAAAGAACATGGCTTTCAATTGTGGTCACCAGGTGCATTTCCGGTCCTAGCATTTGAGTTAAAGAATCACACTTCAAACAAAACCGTTTAACTTTCCTTTCGATTTTCTGTTTTTATACCCATAGACTTGCTCAGAATGTGGTGAAGACCTCAGTGTTTGCCCTATTTTCCGGAGCTCAATCTCGGTTCGTATCAAGCTTTATTAAGATGATAAACTCGCTCAAGAGCTGAAGGAAGCACAGCTCGAGTGAGTTTTCCTGCGTCATCCGAACGAGATTTTATCAATGGTGGTGGAGGATATGACCAGTGTCCTAGCATTTGTTTCTACCGTTGAATGATGTTTCGATCAATCACAGATTCTTTTTAAAGGTTTGTAGATAATCTGTTCAGTTTTTTCTTTCTCATTGCACACTGAAAACACACAGCAGACTCTCTCGTCACGCTCCACATGCAAATAAAGGATCTTTGCTCTGCTGCAACAGTCTCATTTTATAGATTTTGTACATATGAATATTACTCTCTCTTCCTTGAAGAGTCTTCTTGAATGTTCTCATGATGTATGTATATACCTTTCTTGTCTGAAACCTGTCGTCTTCAACACAAGAGCCCAAATGGTCCTGATTCACTACCATAATTAACATCTTATGGATCGTTTTCATCGAAAATGGTATAAGGGCAATTGTTTCATAAGTTTTAATCAAAGAGAGTACAAGTTCCATTTTAAGGCTTCCGTATTAGATTTTGCTTTTTTCGTATTTGATGCTTTCAAACTAATACTTTTCACTGTTCATGTGTAATAAGATATACTTTCCCTTAACGCAAGTTATTTTCTTAGTGTTCAATGAATGCGACTTGTTCTTGGAACTAGAAGCATGGTGAGCTCATGAGAAACAATAAGGTTTACATAAATCTAGTTAAACCAGAGTAATCTAGTGCTTGTCTTTCATCACGGAAAAGTGTTATCACAGTGAAAAGAAGTGAAGGTTTTAAAACGGTAAAGACAAAGACATGTTCCAAGTCTTTGAATAAGATTCCAGTCAGATTGTTCAACAATCTTCTTTCAGTTTCAGAGACCCTACTTATGTCTTATCACGCAAACCAATAGAAAAAAACATCCTTTGTGGTTTGGTAAATCAGAATTCAGAGTATAGCCTTTTCAGCACAACCTTTACCATGAATTTCCAAAGCGACATCTCTGCTCTGAATCAAGACATCATAGTTGAGCGGCTACTTCGTAGCCATGATCCAGACGGTCGATGGGTTGATTCCGATATGCTGCTTCAAGACGTCGAAACTATCTTGAGCCTTCTCTGGAAAATGATGTGAGCTCCCGTCTTAAATTCTTCAGAAACTTGTTTAGATTGTAGCCAATAACACTGCCACTACATTTGCAGATTTCTAAGCCGCTTTTGACAGAGAATTGTATGACCAACTTTGAAGTTTTTGAATCAAAGGAAACAATACCATACGCCATCTCCAGAATCTCCGTTCAGGTTAACAGATCTTCCTTTCTTCTCAAATCAATTCTTCCTTTAAAATCTGCAATGGGCCGGAAATCTTGAAACTATTAAGATTGCAGATGCTTTGTCCATGCAAGGGAGAAAATGAGATCCAGGAAAGAACAATGGTTTTATTTGATCTTCTGAAAAAATACAGATGGGATGCAAAAGCTTTTTTAGTACTAGGAGCCCTTGCTGCAGCATATGGAGGACTATTGCTACCAGTTCATCTAGCCTTCAGTGATCCCATCGCAGCATCAATTGCAACACTCAACCAATTGCCAATTGAGAAAACCAAGTTCAGACCATGGTTAAACTCTCTAATCCTGCTTGTTAAAGCTATGGTGGACGTAACCAAATGCATCACTGAGTTTGAAAAACTTCCATTTAAACAAGCGAGACTAGACAACGACATTGTGGGAGAAACCATGTCTAACATCTGTTTGGCTACTTACCATGTTGTCAAAAGTGCACTTGCATGCCTGCAGCAGATTCATTATTTCAAGCAAACCCAGCAGGTGTTTTTTCCACCCTTGTTCTATCTTCCCTACAAAATGAAAAAAAAGAAGCAAAAACACAGATATTGTTTCCATCATATTACCATTTCAACATTGAGTTTTCTCATGGCTAGGAATTATCTAAAATACTCAGGCAACAGAACCAAGGAGAGCAGCAGGGGAACTTTCTAGTTTGGGATATCAATTGCGCAACATGCATATCCACCTCAATAAGCAGGTAGAAGAATGCGGTTTACAAATAGGTAACTTTCAAATGTTCTGACGTTAAGTTGCAAAAGCACATCTTCTAATAAAATGCAACACTCATCTCATATGTTTCTTCTCTGTTGTTATACCAACAGAGGGAGAAATCTATCAAAAACTTAGAAACATTAACACTGAGACTCATGAAGACAACCAAGAGGTACTCCAACTACTTTTTTCTCTACAAGATGATGTGGTACTTCAACAATACTCCAGACAGGTATAAAGAACCATCTTTTTTCTTTTTCCACGTTCCTTCTTTTTGATCTTTTACTTTATAAGTTTTCATCCTCTAAATACATCCTAAAATAGTAAAATAAAAGATGCAGTGCAGCATTCTTCAGTATGAAGATACATAGACAGATTCTTTTACCTTTCAAGACAAGATTATTCATTTGATTCAATACTCTTTTAACATCCAATGGCAGATAAGTATAACTGAGCTGAAAGAAAAGGTAATATTGCTGCTATTATCAAAGCCAGAACTCTTACCCATAGAGCCATTTCACTTCCTGCTTCAACAGTTATATGATCGTCCATCCAACACCAACACAGAGCAAAACTATGAAATCTTATGGATTCCAATACCAACATCCCAAAAATGGACAGACGAAGAGAAGAAAACCTTCAATTTCTTTTCCAATTCACTTCCATGGATCTCAGTAAGGCGCCCATGGTTGATGAGCTCCACAGTACTGAGATTTTTTTAAGAACAGAATGGCCGTATAGAGATGGTGAGACGATGGTGGTGGTCATGGATCCTAATGGGAAGGTTGTGAACATGAATGTCATGGATATGGTATTGATTTGGGGTGTTAGGGCTTATCCATTTTCAATTTCCAGAGAAGATAAGCTTTGGGAAGAAGATGGATGGTCCTTGCAGCTCTTGCTTGATGGCATTCATCCTGCATTTGAAACATGGGTAAACAAACCCTTTTTAAATTTTTCATCAAGCTTCAAAATTTTTTTCATTCTTATGATCGGATTGTGAAATCAATACTTGAATTCATCAAACTCTACGACTCACAGGTGAAAGGTGAAAGAAGGCAGAGAAATCTGCATATTCGGAAGCGACAATTTGGATTGGATAGACGAAATTACGTCACTATCACGGAAACTTCAAAATCACAGATTCAAGTTTGAGCTGATTTACCTCAGCAAACGCACAATAACCTTTGCATCAGCCATGGAAGAGAGCTTCATCCTGTTCAGTCCAGATATACAACAACTCTTCAGGCTCCGATTAGAAAGCATCAAACGATCTAAACTCAAGCGAATTGAATCATCGAAGCCCGATCGCGTGTTTGAAGAAGTCACCCAACTACTTGACTTCGATTACAGTAAACACAAGGGTTGGGCCGTCATCGGAAAGGGATCAGCGGCTGGGACGGAGAAAATCGTCGGAGAGAATCTGACGAAGAGGATGAGGCGGATCCTGCGGTGGGGAGAGTACGCTTCGGGGCTGGTTTCACGGAGGCGATTCAAATCGCGGAGGAGAAGCCGTGTGAACAGAGTCACACGGTGGTGGTTCTGTTTGAGGAAGGTTCGTTGACGATGAAAGTTGTCACGTGCGAGAAATGCAAAAGGCCCATGAAGAAGTTTGTCGCCTATCAGTAACTCAAAGGCCCGTTAGTTTAACATTACAGACCCATTAATAGTTATATGGTTTTATATTCTTGCAATAACAGAAGAAATCTAAACTCTGGGTTGCTATTGAAGAATAATATGATTTTGCAATTTGAATACAAATCAATTCAAATGTTTTTGATTGAATGTTTTTGTTGTAGTTGTTGGAATAAAGTGTTGGGTCGGGTCGGTTTGGTTTAATTCAATTTATGAGACTTTATTTACTTGCTCATTTCGATTACTAATTTTATTTTGTTATATCTTTTCATCAAAACCTGGAAAAATCCTTCCTTATCCAAAATCCAAATGAGAGACAATTCGGTTTCGTTTAATTCATTTCCACAAATTTTGAAAACATCCCATGGGGCATGTTGGATTATTGAGACAAGCAAAACATGTTCCACGAGTGGGAACATAAAGAGAGTCTGGAAATGGATAACTATCACCATTTCATGCTGTTTGCAAGATACTCTGGACAAGAAAGCAGCACGAGATTTATTTGTTTCAGATTCAGAACCTTCCTTGAGACTTGCGTTCCCACCATTCCATGAACTTAACTTGAGCCGCCATCGTGTCCAGCTTGTAGAGTTGCAGCGTGTGGTTCGCGACTTCTTGCCCAAAGGTCCAACCAAAAACACCCCCTCCTAAGAACGACAATGCAGCACCTGTCATAACAAAAGATCCGAACACAGCAGTTTAGTATTTAGTAACATGTAAAGCCCCAATGAGAACTGCATAACACTTGCATAACGAGTGAGGGTTATTCACAGAGAGAAAACGCCCTACCATGTGGACTCCTCGAGTATTTCCAGGCAAAAGCAGCAGTAGATACAGCTCCAAGTGCAGCTCCAGTAACACCAAAAGTCGCAGCTTCCCTAGCAGTTTTCAGCTGAAAACGGATGAACAACAAATGTTAGCCAAACTTCCTTGAGGACCAAAACTTTCATATCTTCAGCAAGAATACCAAATTACGTACCTATGGGATGAAATTGAGTAAGAAATCAAACAAGAAATTCTAAGAGTCCCGAGAAAAGGGTAAATAATTCTACAAAAGTTTTGATAGCAGCTCATTTGATTTCTTACGGAACCAAAACATGAAACTTGGGGGGCTCTATGAACCCTTAATACAACTAGATTCCTTTATGCTTATCACATTCTTCCCTACTCTATTAAACTCTGAAACTCAAGCTTCTTCACTCTCCTACTCGGATCAGTTTCATACATCCAATATCTTAAAAATGAGGGGAAAACATACCACCACATCTGATAACCTAATGCTTATCCAATATCTTAAACTCACAAGCTGAGAATCAAAAGTCCAGATTATTTCTGTTCTCAATTTTTTGCTAGTTTTAAATGTAAACCCACGAATGATCTAAGCCAAAATCCTACCCTAGACATCACTGATTTACCATCACCAGCAAAAACTCCTAATGGAAATCAAATGAAGAAGAAGATAGCGAACGGGAAAAGCAATCAGAGAGCAACACAAGGCAAAAGGAGTGAATCCGGAGCCATAGATAGTGGATTAAACAACAAATCGGAGAGGAAGAGAGTGAGAGAGGGGCATACGGTGGGTCCATGAACGGGATCGGAGGCAATGAACTCGTCGACGTCGGAGGAAGACCAAGAAGGAAGAGGCGTGTCGCGTTTAGTGAACCTCGTGTAATTTTCCAGGAAAGCGAACCTCTCCCCCCAGAAACCCTTGAATCCGTTCCAATATTCCCCCATCTTTCTCAGATCGAAATTCCCCAGGAAAATATCAGCTTCCAAAGATCTAACAAAATAAATTTCATCAGGAATCCACCATAGATTTCCAAATCAATCAACTGAAGTGGCAATCGAACAATAAATCCAGACTTCCTACTTTTTTCAGAAAATGCAACAAATTGGACAGTGAGATAACATGTAATCTCCGGAATCAGAAAACTGCAGAGAAAGATTGTTCAAGCGTCAAAGCTTAACCGAGAAGAAGAAGAAGAAGATACCTGGAGATCGACTCTTCTTCTATTATTTGGTTCGTTATCGGAGAATTTCTTTGTTTTCAAGCCAGATTCCTCACTCTCAATAATCAAAATCAAAACATCGGTCATTGCTTCGTGATGGGTCGGGTCGGTTTTCTTCAGCTGTATCTACTGGGTTTTACTTGGCCCATCTTTGACTTCAATTTTTAATTGGGTTTTACTTGGCCCATCTTCGACTTCAATTTTTTTAATTTACTAATTAGACATTTACTCAAATTATCTCAAAACATTCGTTGGGGAAAATATTGTGGCTTACTGAGACAAGCAAAACATGTTGCATGAATGAGAACGTAAAAAGGTAAAAAAAAAAAACCCTATATATAGACCAAGACTATCATGTTTTGTTTTGAATTCAAATTTAAAACAAAGTGTTTTACCCCAAAAAAAAAAAAAATTTAAAACAAGTGCAAGTGACTGAAAATATTTAAAGCAGTGACTTGTTCCGTGAGATAAATATTTTTAGTTTGTTTTTATAGCTAACTCTTGTGAACTTTAAATATTATATGTATGTAAAAGGAGAGAGAGTGAGTGGAGACTATATGAGGGAGAGAAATTGTATTATTAACTTCGTTTATATTACAAAAGGAAGATGTTCCTCTATTTATAGGGAGGATGGCAGTTATAAAGAAAATGTAGTTATTACCACATGTAGGTAAATGAAGGGTAGGTAAAAGTTGAGGTGGGATATTATTTATATAACACTTTCTCTTGATTATCCATCAATAATAATATATTACGTATTACCTTGTTAAAAACCTTATTATGGAAAAACTCATTGGGATAAAAACCATGACAAAGGAAAAAGAGTACAGCAACATAATCTCTCTCTGGAAATGATGGATATAAATTTCCTTCATAGGTCTCGTAATCGGCGCATTCCGATATTATGAACATGTTTTTTGAATGATGTAGTGGGAAGCGCCTTTGTAAAGAGATCTGCTGCATTGTCGCTTGAGCGAACATATTGGATATCGACTTCCTGATATTTCTCGAGTTCTTGAGTGTAAGAGAAAAACTTTGGAGGAATATGTTTCGTTCGATCAATCTTGAAGAAGCCTTCCTTGAGTTGAGCGACACATGCAGCATTATCTTCGAACACTTTTGTTGGTTCCATATCGATGACTATTCCACTTGCACCTTGTGTATGTTGAGTCATAGATCGGAGCCATATGCATTCTCTACATGCTTCATAGAGAGCAATGATTTCCGCATAATTTGAAGAAGTGGCGACCAAAGTCTGTTTTTGAGAACGCCACGAGATCACTGTTCCACCAATTGTGAAAACATATCCAGTTTGCGATCGGGCTTTATGCGGATCTGATAAATATTCTGCAAGTAGATTGATAGCAAAAGCTATATCTGGTCGAGTACAATTTGCAAGATACATAAGCCTAATACGTTTTCGCTATCTTCACAAGGTCGAAATGGATTCTTGTTAATATCAAGTGATCTATTGACCATTGGAGTACTCAAAGGAGTTGCTTTATCCATTTTAAAGCGTTTTAACACCCTTTTGGTGTAATGTGACTAATAGCGCTCATATAAGGTACTTCAGGACCTAATACGTTTTCACTATCTTCACAAGGTCGAAATGGATTCTTGTTAATATCAAGTGATCTATTGACCATTGTAGTACTCAAAGAAGTTTCTTTATCCATTTTAAAGCGTTTTAACACCCTTTTGGTGTAATTTGACTGATGCACAAACATTCCGTCTTGGAAATGCTCAATCTGAAGCCTTAGACAAAATTTTGTCTTTCTAAGATTTTTCATTTCGAGCTCTTCTTTCATGTGAGTTCTTGCATCATCAATCTCCTTTTGAATTTCGATTATGTTCAGGTCATCAACAAATACAGCAATGATCACAAATCCTGATGAGGATTTCTTAATAAACACGCAAGGGCATATCGCATTGTTGATGTATCCTTTACTCAACAAGTATTCACTCAAGCGATTATACCACATGCGTTCGGACTGTTTTAATCCATAAAGTGATCGCTGTAATTTGACCGAACATATGTCTTTAGATGCTTCAGGCATCTTTGATCCTTCTGGGATCTTGACTCCCTCTGGGATTTTCATATACATGTCACTATCAAGTGATCCATATAGATATGCAGTCACAACATTCATAAGGTACATATCTAGATTTTTAGATGCCGTTAGGCTCATTAAGTACCTGAATGTTATTGCATCCATGACTGAGGAATATGTATCTTCATAATCAACTCCCGGTCTTTGAGAAAAACCTTGTGCCACAAGTCGGGCTTTATATCTTGTGACCTCGTTTTTCTCATTTATTTTCTCAAAAAGACCCATTTACACCCGAGTGGCATTACATCTTCTGGTGTAATGATTTTACGTCCAAAGACATTTCTTTTATTCAGGGAGATTAATTCATTTCTCATGACCATCTGCCATTTCTTCCAGTCAGGCCTTTTTGGCATTCTGACACGGACCTTGGGTCTGGATCATCATTTTTTATTTTCAATTTCTTTGGATACTGAAAAGGAGAACATTCCATTTGTATCATTTATCTCACTTCTAGCCCATAATGTCCCACTTTGGGCGAAGTTAATGGAAGTCTCATACTTTTCAGTATCATGTTCGTCTTCTGGACGAACTTCTTTAACTGGTTCTTCTGGAACCTCTTCATGTATGTCTTCAGGACATATTTCTCTATAAGGTTTAGAACCTTATTCTCATATGTCTTCATGACATTTTTCTTTATTTGGTTCTTCTGGAACCTTGTCTCCCAATTTCTTTTTTTTTCGAGGATTTTTATCCTTTGAGCCCATCGGCCTTCCGCGCTTTAATTGAACCTGCGGTTCATTTGTTTTATTCCCATCAATAACTTGTTCCGGAACATTTATTTTTGATGGAGCATTAGTAGCGGAGATATATGATTTTGTCACCCTTCTCGTATCTGTGAACGCATCAGAAAAATTATGGTATTTTCTCCTTCCGGGTTGACTTGAGAAAAAAAGGAATAATTAACACCGACTTATAACTGGTTTACCAAACTTTGCAAATGTATAACTTTCTGAACTTCCACCTCGCGTTGATGGGTAGGGGGATCGAGATAAGCCAACGTTTGTGTACACTATGTGATATCCTTTGGTGATTCTCTTGATCCTCCCCCAAAGCTGGGAATTCATTTTCATCAAAGTGGAAATCGACAAAACATGTCGTAAACATATCTCCAGTTACCGGTTCAAGATATCTAATTCTACTTGTTGATGTATAGCCGATATATATTCCCAATCTCCTTTGTGGCCCCATTTTTGTTCATTGTAGCGGGGCTATTGGGACATAAACTGCACATCCAAAAATACGGAGATGGGATACATTTGGCTCCTTGCTAGATGTTAACTATATTGAGGAATATTCAATATATGCACTTGGTTTCATCTGGACCAATGCCCCAACATGCAATATCATGTTCCCATACAGTAATTGGGAGTTTTGTTCTCAATATTAATGGTCTTGCAATCAACTGCAACCGTTTTATCAAAGACTTAGCCATGCCATTTTGTGTATTCACATGGGGAACCGGATGCTCAACATCGATTCCTAATGACATACAATAGTCATTAAAGGCCGCTGAAGTGAATTCACCAGCGTTATCACGCCTGACTTTCTTTATGGTATAATCAGAGAATTGAGCTCTCAACCTGATTATTTGGGCAATGAATCTTGCGAAAGCCATATTTCTTGTGGTCAATAGACACACAAGTGACCATCTAGTAGATGCGTCGATTAATACCATAAAATATCTAAATGGTCTGCACGGTAGGTGAATCGGCCCACATATATCACCATGTATTCTTTCTAAGAATACAGGAGATTCATTCCCAATTTTGGCTGGCGAGGGCCTAGTTATGAGTTTTCCCTGAGAACATGTCTGACATGAAAACTCTCCCGTTTAAAAAATTTTGGCACTCGAATTTTGCACAATTCTTCTCATCATGATTGATCCAGGATAGCCAAATATTTCATGCCATACTCTAAATATACTAGTAAACCTCGGGTTTACTGTAACATAGAATTCAATCATATTTATTTTTGTGCAATATAACCCAGAGGACATCATTGGTAATTCTTCCAATACATGTTTCCTCTCAGATGTAATGCAAAGATATTCAATGCCATTCTTATTTATACATGCTATATGATATCCATTTCTTCGGATATCTTTAAAACTTAGCAAATTTCTGCTAGATTTGGGGGAATATAATGCATCAGTTATTTCAAATTTTTGTCCTATTTGGCATTGAAAAGTTAGCTCTTCTGGAGCGTATTATAATATTTGCATTACCAGATATGGTATTCACGCTTCCGGCGGAGTCATTTATTTTGAGACATGAGAAATATTTTTTTATCTTTAAGTATAGTATGTGTCGTAGCACTGTCTGCTAGACATGTATCTCCATCATGTATCTCAAACGATGACATGTTCTGAATCACAATATGCAAGAAAATGCATTAATAAACCAAAAACATGATTTTAGAAATTATTTTATATTAAGAAAAGTATATTACATTCTAATTTAAAATTACATTGGTTTTTCTTGTCTTCTTCAAGAAGACTTTATATTACATCGATCTTAATCGCTTTGTTTCCGTTGATTCTTCAGGATCAACAAGGAAATCAGCGATATCAAGATGAGTATAATCAATTATGCCATCATAAGAAGGTCCAGCTTCATCAGAGATGAAATTGGTATCAAAATTCTTTCCTTTATCCTTTTCTTTGGCATCTGGTGATTCTCGGTACAGATCGGCTAAATGTCTTGGCATACGACAGGTTTTTGCCCAATGATTTTTCATGCCGCATCTGTAACAAGCAGTTTCTTTTTGCTTTCCTGCTTCCCTACCAACATCATTTTGTCTTCCTCGTCCACGACCTCGTCTGCGACCACGGTTATGGCCTCGACCGCGTCCGCGTCCACGTTCGGTTCGATTATTTTGACTAGATGATGCAACATTTGCTTCTGGAAATGGCGATGATCCATTTGGACGAGTTTGATGGTTTAACATCACGAGCTGATTAGTTTGTTCAGCTACAAGGAGGACTTGCATCAACTCCGAGTAAGTGGTATAACCTTTTGCCCAATATTGTTGTTGCAGGATTACATTTCCAGGATGAAATGTTTGGAGAGTTTTTTCGATCATGACGAAATCACTTACCTCCTATCATATAATTATATTCACCAACACTTTTGTAATCCTGGAACCGGAAGTTCAACCACTCATGTTTGGCTTTCAGTAAGATCACATATTTTTGGTGATCAAACCGATCTTTGAGAGATTGCCAAAGATCTGCAGGATCTTATTTCGTGATGTATTCTTCTTTTAAACTAATGTGGTGGAGCAAAAATGTCATGGCTTTCGCCTTTTTCTCATCTGATGTCATTTCCGACTTATCGATGGTATCGAGAAGCCCGTTTCCTCTTAGATGCATTTTTGCACCTACTGCCCATGACATGTAATTTTTTCCAGACACATCAAGGACAGAGATTTCGAGCTTCGCCAAATTCGACATTATAACTGTATATATATCGTAAATTTAGCGAGATATTTAATTTATAATTTTTTTAAAGAAAAACATGATAAAAACTTTTGAATATGCATATATAATAAAAATATATACTTAGGAAATATAGAAGGCATAACCTTTTATATAATTGAGGAGGCAGAGCCTACCATAGTTTTAAAGGAGTAGGCATAACCTTTCACTCTATATATAAACAAGGAGGAGGTATAACCTTCTAGTCCACAAATATATTATCAAAGAGGAGGCTTAGCCTTCCACTCTAAATATATGATCCGAGGAGACATAGTCTACCATATGATCATATGATCGTGAAGGCATAGCTTATCATACCGATCGGTTTGAGGAAGGCATAGCCTATCATCCCGTAAACTTGAAAACAAGTTGAACATAAATTTAAATCAACAGTTCAGGGAATGCAGAGCCTATCATCCCGAAATAATATATAAATTTGAAATAAATTAAACATAGATTTAAATCTTACATCTTTGGTATAAAAACGGATTGAGAGGTGCTCGTGCTGATAACGTCTTGTAAACTTTAAATATTATATATATATAAAAGGAGAGAGAGTGAGTGGAAACTATATGAGGAAGAGAAGTTGTATTGTTAACTTCGATTACATTACAAAAGGAAGATGTTCGATTACATTACAAAAGGAAAATGTTCCTCTATTTATAGGGAGGATGGTAGTTACATGGTTATTACCACACGTAGGCAAATGAGGGGTAGGTGAAAATTGAAGTGGAGAATCATTTATATAACACTAACAAAATGTTAGGAAATTTTTGGATCATGCTCTTTTGAACGATTTTGTTTTTATATTTTTCTTCTTCTAGATCTGAATATATCAGAGAGAAGCTTCACTTAGGACTAAATTAAGAATCAGATTTACATCTTACATTTTTTTTTGTGATAAGCTCAGTATACATAAGCTAATAGTCATTTTCCTTAATGAGAAACATAAAGAATATGAGTGAAATCCAAAAATAAATAAGAACAGGTTTATACAATCAACTTATTAACTCAGTCATACTTAAACACAGATGAGATTATACTTGTTCCCAAGTGGACTATTCTAGTAGATGAAAGCATCCATCAAACATGCTCCTAGTAAATAAAAATAATAAAACAGGAACATGAAACAGAAATAATGATGCCTTAACAACAAAATGAAGATTAGTATTAACAATCATGAAAACAAACAAAAATAACTTACGCATCACAAAATCAAGTTCCAAAAGAACTTCATAACAATCACTAGTAATAATAGTGGAGGAAGAGAAAGTAAGGGAAATGACAAACATAATAAACTAGTGAAATCAAAAAATAAATAAGAGTGCAATCAACTTAGCAACCTCAATGATAACTAAACATAGATAAGATAAATTCATTAAAGAAGATAATAAAATTCTTCCAATAATTTGAAGCTAAAATGAGAATAACCTGTAATTTATGTGATCATTTCAGTATATCTCAAACCAGTAAAGAGCCGATATTATCTCAAAATATGAGTGCAATCCAAAAATAAATAACAATTTTAAAAAAAAAACAATTAAATGAATAACTTATGCACTACAAAATCAAGTTCCAAAATAATTCCATAACAATAACTACTGAAACGAGCACTCAAAAAATAAGTGAAGGGCAATGAGAAGAATAAAGAATATGAGTGAAATCCAAAGATATAAGAACAAATTTTATACAATCAACTAATCAACTAAGTAACTCAGTCATACAAAAACACAGATGAAATTATACTTGTGCCTAAGTGTACTAATCTATTAGATGAAAGCATCCATGAAACATGTTCCTTGTAAATAAGAATACTAAAACCAGGAAAATGAAACATAATAATGATGCCCAGACATCAAAATGAAGATCAGTATCAACAATCACGAAAACAAACAAAAATAACTTATGCACCCCAAAAATCAAGTTCCAAACTTACTTTATAACAATCAACTTAAGAGTGCAATCAACTTAGTAACACTCATAATTAAACATGAAAGAAAATGACAAAATGCTTCCAATTAATTAAACCTAAAATGAGGATAACCTGTATTTGTGCTGATTCAGTATTATCTCAAACCAGTAAAGAGCCGATATTTGCGTTTTTTTCCTAAAGAGATACAAGAAAGACGAACTCTATCATGACTACAAAGAGAAGTAACAAAGTCACAAAATAATAAATAAGCATAATAAGAGTGAACGTTAAGGGATAGAATTAGTTGAACGATTCCTAAATATTCTCAGAACAGAATGAACATCTGATTAAATGCATTGTAACAAACCTTTGCTAACGAAGAACACCTAAATGATAGAGCCAAAAGTGCCAGAAGTTGTACCAGTATCAGATGAAACCATAGCCAAAGCTTCTGAGCAGGCTTTAAAGATCTTCAGATGCGAGAAGATCATACTAATCGTTAATCTTTTGTTCAGATATAACGATTTCAACCTCTGATTTAGATTTCTCCCCACCTGATGAAAGAAGTTCACAACCTTGGAAAAGCTTATGGTAACTATAATCATCACGCCACTTAGTTATGGCAAACGCAATTCATTATCAGCGTTCAACGATCCCAAAGTCATTTGAAACTTACGAAAGTTACAGCCATTTGATCTTCTGACCTCTTGCACAAACAGATGTTGTCAGTATCACCAATCAGGAAAAAGCCTGAAACTGTCAAGGTTAAAATAACACCGTTATAAGGTACAACAAAAAACTAGCGGAAAATGGAAAAGAGTAGCCCAAAGATTCGAATAACAAACATGACATATCACTTATTGTGTTAAGAAATGAGAACATGAGAGAATCAGTCGATGCAAATCAATTTAAGGCCACCTTAAACAGGTTCTCATAAAAGGCAGTTTTTGTCGCTACAAAAACAAACAAGAAGACAACCATAGTTTTATCAAACATAACAAAACAAAGTATGCAAACAATACGAGGTTTCATGGTAGAAATTATGGAAAGTACAATCATCGTGTCACTTAATTATGGCAAACGAAGTTCATTATCAGATGTCCCAAAATCATTTGGAACTTGAATTTACCGCCATTGATCTATCCTCTGACCTGCATAGCCAGATCTTTTTTAAATCAACAATAAAAAAAAAAAAAACTGAAAAGATTAAGATACACCTATTATAAGGTACCATGGAAATCTAGTGGAAAACGGAAAAGAGTGGCACAAAGGTCGTAAAATGAACAAGACAAAAGTATAAATTAAACATATTGTGTGCGAAAATGAGAACATGAGATCTCACGAAATCACACGAACAAAAAAAAGAAGAATAAGAAGTTGCATCACCGAATAAAGTTCACAAAATATCAGTTCCAAAAGTCCATAATATTCACTACTGAAACTGTAAAACAAAGGATAATCACTTTGTGATTAGTATTGGTAGAAACTATGTCAAAGAATTGGAGGCAAAATACACAAGAAGAAACAAAAAAAACAAACAATAATCCAGTGAGGTTAACAGTGACTATATACATATAAGACATACAAATCAGTAATGGAAAAAAAATGCAGAGGCAAGCGATAAGCAAGAAATCAAATAGCTATTCACCACATTGTAAAGTTCAAAAAGACACAAATAAAATAACTTAAGCACCACAAAATTACTCAACGAAAGTCACTACTGGAACAAGCACTCTATCAATAACTGGAAGAGAGTGTGAGGAGAAATAAGGGAAATCAAGAAAATTAGAGAAATACGAGTAAAATCCAGAAACAAATGTAGATAAAGATTAGATCTACATTGTGACAAAGTGGACTAATCCAGTCGATGAAAACTATCCATCGAGCATATTTCATTGTCAAGTAAGAACAATAAACCAGGAAAATGAAAAATAAATGAATACACCTAACAGGAAAAGGTATCAACAATCACAAAATTAGATCATCTTTAGGTACTGAATTAAGATAAAGCTGCATACATTGGTAGAATATACCACCGCAATCATATGGCACCCAAAAAAAAAAAAGACAAAGTAAGAGATCAAAAGAAGTAAAGGCATCAGAACACGAAACACACAAAAGACGAAACAAACAACCAAACAAAAGAGATTAACAGGCACAGACAAAACTAAATTTGTTCGGCACAGACTTGAAGGCAAAAACTCCACAGAGAATCAATATCATAAAACTTAATAATCGCAGTAATCTAAACGGATCATAAAACATAGAAACAGCAGAACTCATGAGAAAAGAAGAAGATAATTTCAGAAGAAAAAAGAGTCACAACCTGCAGAGAATCCACGGAAACTACAAAAATCACACAAACTAAATAATTTACTAACGGCGAACGCAATCACAGACAGTGATTCGAAGAAATTAAAACAAAATAATTATCGAAATTAGAAGAAGAGCGAAATTCAAAGAGAAGCTGAGAACCACAATCTCGATCCGATCCTAACAACGAAACACTAGAGAGAAGAGAATTACTACGTAGAAGAAATAAGAAGTAAAACGAGGAAGAACAGAGAGCCATACAACAGAATCCTTTAGAAAACTACCAGAAATTGGAAGATATAAAATCAAGAATCTGAAGTGGAATGAGGAATCGAGAGGCACGACCTAGTCTTAAAAGCGAACCTCTTAAGGAAAATAAAGAGCTTGATATCGTGGTTCAAAATTCAAAATCAGGGAGGAAGATATATAGATCGATCGAATGGACGTCTAGGATCAAGAGGTGTGAACGGTGAAGATTGAAACATTCATTGACCGTTGAAACCATCTCTTGCTCCCTGATTATTTAATTACTAATTTACCCATTCCTTGATTTTTTCTTTTCGACAAACAATTTATTGATTTCAAGTTAGAATTACAAAAGTTATACAAAATTTTTGAAAAACAAATTATTACATAAGTAATATATGCGTCATATAGTAAAAAAGATACAACAAAAAAAAGTAATTATGACGATGATTTCTGCAGTCATAATAGTTTTTTTTTCTTCTATCCTACTATTATATCACTATTGACCTGTTAAGGGAATGGTCAGGAAGATCCTTTGCAACTGATTCGTTATGAATGATTTGGGAAAAGATAATACCTTTTGCTCGAGCTCCTTTCGCTAGACTATCCGCTCGGACATTTGAACTTATGGGAATATGGAAAATAGTGAAGTCCAAAAAGCTCTTTCGTAGGATCCGGAAGATTTTCAACTCTGAGAGGAAGGATGACCAATCTGATGGCGACTCTGCCATGATCCAAGCAGTTGGTCTGAAAGTGAACTGATAAAATCTATCTATGGTTTTGTAAACGTTTATTCATATATTAATCAATTAGAACTTATCATATATATTATAAGCAAAGTAAAATTTTGAGTTAAAGCTCTCTCATTCAATTTCAGAGTGGTTAATTACCCTTTACCCCTCCTTATATTTTTCTAAAATAAAATTTAATAAAAAAATTATTAAAAATCGAAAATTAATAAAATTTATTATTAAAAATCGTAAATTAATAAAAATTATTAAAATCGGAATTTTATAAAAAAATATTTAAATTTTTAAAAAATATTAAAAATCGTAAATTAATAAAAATTATATAAATCAGAATTTAATCAAAAAACATTTAAATTTTTAAAATTTATTAAAAATTGGAATTTAATAAAAAAAAAACATTAAAATCATATCATATATACTATATGCGAAGTAAATTTTTCGCTATAAGTTCTCTTATTCAATTTAGGTGACTAATCATCATAATATATATTAAAAGCGAAGTGAATTTTAGCTTTAAATACCTCTCATTCAATCTCAGCGTGGTTAATTATTTTTTTGTCCCTTTCTAAAAGGTCATTAATATCCTTTAATTGGTTAAAATTTAGTCTTATTTATAATTAACTATACTAAATTTTGTTACCATGAAGTTAATATTGGATCTTTTAATGCTATAAAATTGTATGGTTTTGTATATGAAAGCCCCAAGGCTCTCACTTTAGCCCTAATCTCCGATTAGTCAGAGCTTCTTCTTCAACCGGTGGTTTCTGTGTTTTGACGTTTGAGTTGTATTGCTTTATTAAAATTTTTGAATTAGGGTTTTCTGTTTAAAAGCTTTGGGTCTGTGTTCATGATGAATGAGGACGATTGAATATTTAAGCTTTGCAATTAATTTCCATCGATATTGCTCTATAAGTCTATGACCGATCGGATCCCATACTGTCTATGCTCCTCCATCTCAACTTTGTTTCTGTTTTTGGAATGTGTCTGGTTTATCCAAAAATAATTTTGCTTCGGACTTGAGATTCTGTTTGGATTTCATGTTTAAGGTGTATTCATCTCAGTTAAATTTTGAGGAATCAAAGTGATGCTAATCATACTGATTTAGCGTTGTTTATTGTGATGTCGAGTTATAGTGAAGAATATATTCACAAGCATAAAATCGTAGCAATACAAAAAAAAAAATTCACAAGCATAAAAAAGACCATATTAAACGAGTTTCTAATGTTCTCTAAGCCAAGTCGAATTGATCGCTCTGCTTCTTCACTCTAATTATAGTAAAGACTGAAGAAATCGTTGGAATAAAGATTTCGATGAGCCCGTGACTCTTGCCCCAACCAGACTTTCTTGGCCTTGCGAAATACATGGTTATTCAAGGTGAACCAGGATGATGCATAATGGAATATAAATGGGAAATTATTGATTAAATTTAAACAAACTAGACCAATCAGGGTTTTAAAATTATATTTTTCATGTTAAATCTTGTGGAATCGTTGAACAGAAAGTGTGATTTCACTAAAGACTGTTATTGGTAAAATCTTGCAATCATGCTAATTAAGGAATATTAGTAATGACACTTTCACTGAGACTTTTGTTATAACATTTTTCTTAAACGGACCAAAGTATTTATGTGGTTGATTTTACGATTGGATAATGTAGGAGGGTCTTGAATTGGACATTTGCATATGGATTCTACCTTGCTCATAATGAACATGCAAAGACACAATTTTTTCGAGTATTTGAAAGAGGCTTCATCATTGTGCAGAGATGTAGTTGGAACAGTTTGTCTCCGGAACTAATGAACCATCCAAAAGTTTCAATGATTTCGTTTGACTAAAGTAACCAAACCTACTTCAAAAAACACGTGAAAGCTTTGGAGAATGGTCTTGCTGATGTGGAACACAATGAAAGCACAAATCAACAACAGACTCTAGATCTTCTTTCAAATGACAAAGTTTGACAAGGGTCTAAGAAAGATCCAAGTGGTAAGTGAGAGGTCTTTCAGCTTCAGATTTATATTATTGGTGCAAAAAACCGTATGGTTTATTGCAAGTGGTATTTTCCAAATTAAGGATCATATCAAGTATTCGGTTTACAATTCGGAGGGACATGTGAAAAATTGTAAGTTTATAGTATTGAGAAGCTATTGGTTAAGATAAATAAAGAATAGATTTTTTTCCCCTAAAAAAAAACTATAGCATCACTACGCTAATTAAAAGATTTTTACTTCTTTCAATGCCTTATAGAAAAAATATATCTCATTATGTAAATCTCAATAACAGAGTATATTGGTAAAGTTTTAAAAACCAGGAAATAGTCAAGATAATACCAGTAGGTACCTTACATAACGATCAAAGGGAAAGTGAGTAACTCCTATGAGAGAGTCATCTCATTTATGATTGTTTAAGAATCTAATATTTTAAAAAAATTAATCACTGGAAGAATATATGTCTCAAATAATAAATAATTCATTATGTGAAGATTATTCTTTCTACAAAATATAAGAAGTGAATACAGTTCTAATTTTTATGATTAAAAATTAAAACATGTTTTGTTACATCAAGACTATGTATGTTCTGCAATTACTTAATAATGAAAGTTTTACTTTGCCGAAAAAAAAAAAAATAAAACATGTTTTAGTTGTTTGGATTTATATATAATTTTGGAATTACTTTTTAGGCAATAAAGAATAACAACTTTAAGAGTGACTTGGTTTCAGCTTCCAAACTATATTTCAACTTCGTTTTAAGAGGAGAGTTCATATTAGAATACTCGGATAATATGTGTCTATGTTATCTTTGTGCTTCACTTCGCAAGATTTTTTGAAATTGATCGTTTATACAAAGATAATCATGCCTATAAAGATGTGAAAATATACATCTGAAAACTTCCAAACTTCCAAAAATAAATAGTAGAAGAAAATACGAAGAAGGAATAAAACTAAAAAAGAAGAAAAACACAAAGAAAAAGTCTGTTTATTTAATATTTTATATAAAACAATAAGAAATTGAAAAATATAGACTATATAAAGAATAATAGGAAGAAAAAATATCGAAAGAACAATACAAAAAGAAATTGAAAGAAAAGATGATGTTTCCGTCCGCGCAACGCGATTTTGAGTAAGTTTTTCAAGTAAATTAGCGATTTTGAGTAAGTATTTTTAATGAAACATTTCCGTCCGCACAAGGTGCGGGCTAAACACCTAGTAACAAAAAAAACAAAGAAGAAATAAAACAATATTTATTTGAATTTGATTATTAAACTATGATCAAATGTACAAAAATTGACAATGTGTCGATAGATATTCTTTATTTTTTTTTAAATTAACCTACTGAAAAACAGTGGCAGATTCAAAATATTTTTACAAATTGTAGAAAAACATCACTTTAAATAGGCAAATATCATCAAATAATTTTTTAAAAAAATCATAAACATTTGTTATATATTGTAAACAAAAATATCGAAATTCAAAATCTCAGATAATTATGAAAACTTTTAGTGAACAAACCAAATGTCCGAGTTAAAATAAGCTGACTTAGCTGAGATAAATTTATCTAGTGTTCGACACGTGGCATTTACACGATAAGCTGAGATAATCTGCAGTAGTAACACACAGTAGTTAGGTGAATGTTTCCGCACTAGATCCTGCCTCATTACACCAACTTATCGCATCTCCCTCTTCTCAAACGAGGCCGAGAAAAGCAGCGGAAAGGAGCTTACGGCGAGGGAAGATTTATCCGACAACAATGGTCAAGGTTTTGACTTACTTTGGTATGACATTAGCTGCTTTCGCCTTCTGGCAATCCATGGACAAAGTTCATGTCTGGATCGCTCTCCATCAAGACGAAAAGGTTTGATTCTCTTCCGGACTCATCTATCTTTTCTCTCTTGGTGTGCAATACTGAAATCTGACACCTTTTGATCTTAATTTCGCCGTCAATTGCATAAATTTCTTCGATTTTGATTCATTGTGACTCCGGATCTGGGATTGAAGGTCAAACCCAAAACAATCGAATTTATATAATTGACTGATTGTATTTCTCGGTTATAAAAAATGGGTCTTTTGTTCGTTTTCCCGTGTTGAAGAACCATGTGCGTCGATCTAAAGGGAAGATTTTTATGTTGATTTGATGATAGAACGCCATGGAATCTTGGTTAGTTGCGTTGTGTTCTTCAGTCTCTGCACATCAATACTAGTTGTTATGAGAAACTTTATCATTGATGAAAACTTCATTTGACTCAATGCTAGATGATGGAATGTTGGGTTTTTGGAGATAGAGAAGATGTTTAGGTCTATTTGTTTCGTTTTTGATAGTCATCGTTTAAGATGTGATGATTAGGAGCTAAGCTTAACTTTTGATTTGTTTACTTTAATCTGTGATATTCTTTTGCTCAATCTCTACTCTTGATTATGTAGTGATAAGCGATATGAAACAGCTCACTGATATGTTATTCTTGGAGTTGAGTAGAGATTAGTAATTGCACTTGATTAGGAGCTACGCTCACTGGTTGCACTTGATAAAAGTAGTGATAAGTGATATGATAACAAAACCGTAATTTATATGCAGCAAGAAAGAATGGAGAAGGAAGCGGAGGTAAAGCGGGTTAGAGCAGAGCTGCTAAGGAAAGCAAGAGAGGAGGATCCTCTTGCCTGATCTTCTTCAGTTATGTTTTGGCTCTCTGATCACATCAATGCACTTCTCCTTTACATTTTTTTTCTTAACTGTTATGGACCCAAATGGAGTTTGCATAAAAACGACAGTGCCATATATACGCTTTGAATGTGAGATGATCATGAATAATGGTTCCTTGTTGTCTCTCAACCAATGAATCACTAGTGGAGAAGTATCAGGATCTGCTTGCTTTTTGCCTTCCTAAATCTGGTACTGTAATTGACTAATTGTGTATCATGGATTCTGCGTTCATGCACAAGTTAAGGAGGTTTCACATGCCAGATCCAGTTTCTGATTCGTGTTCATTGTTGGTTAACTAAGTATGAAACATTGGTCAAGTTTAAAATGCAATAAAGGTGTTGGCCCTTTAAAAGTTGTTATTGGTTTATTTTTAACCCTAAGCTGCCATTAATTACAAACCAAGCAGCAAAGATGTTTAGCCAAACACACTCAAAAAACAGAAATCGCGATTATGAAATTGTCACAGCCCTAAGAAAACCTTGGAACCGGCAGTGAAACGATAATAAACTCACCGTAACCTTCAGAACCGATAAATATCCATATATGTCGCTTAATGTGAAGACAAACACAACATTTTCTTGCTACTTGTAAACACATTCTCGCCACAAACACGGTTCATCACTGTGTGTACAAAAATGTTGACTCTCAATTTGTATCATTGGTCCATCCTTGGAATCTTCCACTTTTGCTAAGGCATCGTCGTCATCGACTCCGAAAATGACCGCAGCTTCATGAACATCGAGAGACGCCAAGGCATTGTAGCGTTTTCTTCTCTCATGATTTTCTCACGTGATTTAGGTTCTGATTGGTATGACTGTAGGCTGTAGGTTTTTATTTTATTTTACTGTAAAATTTTTTAATTGTGAAAAAATGACTGTGCCTTTAGAAAAAAAAGCCAGAATTGAAAGCTTTATAAAAACTATCAATTCCATGACCAAAAAATAGAAAAAACTAGATTCTACTACGAGAAATTTTGGATTTTTAATCTAATTTTATAATACAACTAGGTGTTTAGCCCGCGACTTGCGCGGACCAAAAAGTTTCATTGAAACCTAAAATAATTAAAATATGTCATAAATCAAAAATAATTAGATCAAGAATTTGATACATACAAAATTAAAATAAAGCTAACCTATGAAAGTAATCATTGTCTAACATTAAAAACTTTAAAATCAATACAGTGTATGAAATCAATAAACACAAATTAAAATAAGATTATATAAATTATTCATCTTTTTCTCTTTTTATCTTTTAATTTTTTTTTTCTCTATCATTTTTTCTTTCTTTTTTTTTGTTTTTTTTTGTTTTTTTTTCTTCTTTGTTTTCTATGTCTTTTTTTTTACTTTTTCTTCTGCTAGTTTTTCTTTTTCACGTCTTCTTCCTCTTCTCCACATCTTTTCATTTTCCCTCTCATACATCTTTTGATTTTCTTCTCTTCAAGGTTTTATTTCCTTTTTTATTCTTCTTCAATGTTTTATTATTCTATTTCTTCTTCTTTTTTTCTTTTCCTTTTTCATTGTCATCGTCTTCTTCGTTATCACCGACTTCCTATTCTTCTGGTGTTTTTCGGCTTTTACCTCATCTTCATATTCTTTTACTTTATCTAATTCCTCATCTTTTAAGGTTTTCATCCAATTTTTTCTCTTCCCTATCTTCTTCTTCTTCTACTTTGCCTTCTAATTTATTTTTTTTCTCCTTCAACAGCTTCTTATTCCTCTTCTTCCAGTTATTCATCCTCTCTCCAAATTCTTCATCATATTTTAAAGATATTTGTCTTATCTGTCTTTTTACTCCTCTCATGGTTTATATTTTCCTTTTTTTAGTTTTTTCCTTATATTTTTGAGTTATTTTTTATCGTTACTTGTTTTCAAATTGTTCTTCTTTATTGTCTTCATTTTTTTTACTTCTTATTCATCTGATTTGTCTTCATTTTTTCATCATATTTACCTTTTTCAACTTTGTCTTCTTCATCTTCTAGTTTTCTTCCATTTTATTATTTTTTCTTTCGTTTCCTCTATTATCTACTGGTTTTCTTTTATGACTTCTTCTTCTGATTATCTTTTTTTCTTCTCCAATTGGTCATATAATTTTTTTTTGTTCATCGTCATCGACCTATCCGACTATTTATCTTACTTGTTCACTGTATTATTTTTTGTTCATATATCATTGTTTTCTTATCTTCACCTTTTTCTTTATTTTTTAGCTTTC